ATGGGGGACCTGAGCCTCGCACCAGAAGCCAAGGTTTAGATTTCATCATGAAGAAGATGAACAACATTACCCAGAATGCTCAGAGCCTTCCTCGTCACCTGACCAGAGAACAGGTCAGAGTGGAGTCTGAGGAGCTCCCAATGTCTTAGAACTCACTCAGAACATTTACAATCCTCATCAGTGACTTTCTTGCATGTATTTTGATATTAACCCAAACCAACGCATCAAAGAGAACGACTCCAAATAAGATTTATAAAACATCCTGTCAACAAATGGTACTTGAACAGACGAGAAACTATACATCACAGGAATCGCTAAAAAACCACCTTTTTAATTCCAACTATTATAACATGGTTGAAACAAAAGTGGATACATGGATCGGCCGGTTTGTCGTGGCTCCAGTCCGTGTTGAATTTGTTTGAAAGCTTTAATCTTCACTGCCCCCCCCCCCCTCTCCCACAGGTCCACCAGTACTACAGCTCCCTGCCCGAGGACAAAGTGCCGTATGTGAACAGCCCAGGAGAGAAGTACCGCATCAAACAGCTGCTCCATCAGTTACCCCCCCATGACAACGAGGTGAGCCCCCACCATCACAGACAGACAGCCTTCAGCGCTTTTGGCAGACGTTTATGATTTTACCCCTCTTCATCTCAGTTGAGTTCAGTTCATCACAAATACAGAATAAAAACATGTAACATTCATTCAGAATTAGTGACGTTGCGTATTTGTAAATGGGAAACACCCCTAAAGCAACTTTTGGCTTAAATAAAGACTTTACACAGCTCTAAAATATAAAACTTCTCTAGAATTTCTATTTCCTATGAACTCACCTGTCTACTAACTAATCTACCTACACATTTAAAACTGCCCATAACATGCTTTTATTAGATTAAAAATGTATTAGTGCATTTAGCTACAGTGCATATATCTACAAAAATATGTGTTTACAGATAAACTTTAATAAATAGATAAACTAAATTCCCAAAGAGTTAGATTTTTAGTTTGTTTTTAAACATGATCATGATTACAGTGGATTTGATGTCCTTTTTCAGCTCATTCCAAACTTTACATGCTTCTTTACAGGATGGTCCAAAAGTGGCTCTTTGTGTATTAAAATAATGTTTATATCATTTATCATCTAAAGTGGAAGTTCAGTCATATTTAGCATCTGCACTTTGAACTCTTTTACTTCTAAATTGGGCCATTGTATTCGTTTCACGTTTACTGATTTTTGTGTGTGCTTTTTAGTTGCGCTACTGCAACAGTCTGGACGATGAAGAAAAACGGGAGTTGAAGCTCTTCAGTAACCAGCGCAAACGTGAGAACCTGGGCCGCGGGAACGTCCGGCCTTTCCCTGTCACCATGAGCGGGGCCATCTGTGAGCAGGTGGGTCTGGGGTTCTACCTCTGTGAGCAGGTGGGTCTGGGCTCTGTTGGACTGTAACATATGATCCAGGACACTCTACACTCTACTACATTCATGGACATTGGTCTCTCCCTATGGTCCAACACCATGTGGTCTCTCCCTATGGTCCAACACCATGTGGTCTCTCCCTATGGTCCAACACCATGTGGTCTCTCCCTATGGTCCAACACCATGTGGTCTCTCCCTATGGTCCAACACCATGTGGTCTCTCCCTATGGTCCAACACCATGTGGTCTCTCCCTATGGTCCAACACCATGTGGTCTCTCCCTATGGTCCAACACAATGTGGTCTCTCCCTATGGTCCAACACCATGTGGTCTCTCCCTATGGTCCAACACCATGTAGTCTCTCCCTATGGTCCAACACCATGTGGTCTCTCCCTATGGTCCAACACCATGTGGTCTCTCCCTATGGTCCAACACCATGTGGTCTCTCCCTATGGTCCAACACCATGTGGTCTCTCCCTATAGTCCAACACCATGTGGTCTCTCCCTATGGTCCAACACAATGTGGTCTCTCCCTATGGTCCAACACCATGTGGTCTCTCCCTATGGTCCAACACCATGTAGTCTCTCCCTATGGTCCAATACCACGTGGTCTCTCCCTATGGTCCAACACCATGTGTTCTATATTCTGAACTGCTGATTCTCTGATCCGTGTTGGAGATTTCAACAGTTTGAGATAACTCCTGGGGTACAGATACATTGAATTGAATGGAGTAAACATTTAGAATCGTTTCTATGTTCACATGTTTGGCTGCAGCATGACTAGATATTCTATTAGTCCCTTAGATTAACTAACTTTACACTCATTCTTTCTAGTGCTCGCCCGACATTGACCAGTCAATAAATGGGAAAACATTTATTCTAGTAGCTTTGGAATTTTATTTTATTTCTTGAAGATCACATTGTAGTCAGACGTGTTCACTCTTACACGACCTACACGTGTGTCAGGGGGTGTCGAAGTGTGTCGGGGGGTGTCAGAGTGTGTCGGGGGGGGTGTCAGAGTGTGTCGGGGGGTGTCAGAGTGTGTCGGGGGGGTGTCAGAGTGTGTCGGGGGGTGTCAGAGTGTGTCGGGGGGTGTTAGAGTGTGTCGGGGGGTGTTAGAGTGTTTCGGGGGGTGTTAGAGTGTGTCGGGGGGTGTTAGAGTGTTTCGGGGGGGTGTCGGAGTGTGTCGGGGGTGTCGGAGTGTGTCGGGGGGTTTCGGAGTGTGTCGGGGGGTGTCAGAGTGTGTCGGGGGGGTGTCAGAGTGTGTCGGGGGGGTGTCAGAGTGTGTCGGGGGGGTGTCAGAGTGTGTCGGGGGGGTGTCAGAGTGTGTCGGGGGGGTGTCAGAGTGTGTCGGGGGGGTGCCAGAGTGTGTCGGGGGGGGGGGGGGGGGGGTCAGAGTGTGTCGGAGTGTGTCGGGGGGTGTCAGAGTGTGTCGGGGGGGTGTCAGAGTGTGTCGGGGGGGTGTCAGAGTGTGTCGGGGGGGTGTCAGAGTGTGTCGGGGGGCTGTCAGAGTGTGTCGGGGGAGTGTCAGAGTGTTGGGGGAGTGTCAGAGTGTGTCGGGGGGTGTCAGAGTGTGTTGGGGGGGTGTCAGAGTGTTTTGGGGGGGTGTCGGGGGGTGTCAGAGTGTGTCGTCAGAGTGTGTCGGGGGGTGTCAGAGTGTGTCGGGGGGTGTCAGTGTGTCGGGGGGGTGTCAGTGTGTCGGGGGGTTTCAGAGAGTGTCGGGGGGTGTCAGAGTGTGGGGGGGTGTCAGGGTATACATCCTGCTGTAATGTCTGGACCTTCAGACCCTTGTTCTCACCCTCTCCACCCTCCCCACCCTCTCCACCCTCTCCACCCTCCCCTGGCCTGTGCAGTGTGGTGGGCAGATCAGTGGCGGGGACATTGCGGTGTTCTCCTCTCGGGCCGGCCACAGCGTCTGCTGGCACCCGGCCTGCTTCGTCTGCAGCCTGTGCAAGGAGCTCCTGGTGGATCTCATCTACTTTTACCACGAGGGAAAGATCTACTGTGGGCGACACCACGCGGAGAGACTGAAGCCGCGCTGCACGGCCTGTGACGAGGTACAACCACAAACAAACATTCCACTTCAAGCACGATGGATGCTTTAAGATAAAATAAACTTTATTGATCTCTGATGAGACCCCACTGAAAGATCAAGGCTATGCTCACAGTCAGAGAGCAGCCGTCCTCCTGTGGACTCACCACCTGCAGAGGGTCAGTGAGGGGCTGGTGCTATGAGACTTGGGTGGCATCTCTGACTGCCACCCCCCTGACCCAGAAATGGATTAAAGGGAAGAAGATGGATGGATGGATCTCTGATGGAGAAGTGTACATGTCACATTTGGCACAGATAGAATCACTCAGACTGTGCTAACATGTTAAAGGTTCAAAATATAGTCTGTGCAGGATATAATCATGTACAATAGAAAGTGACAATAGCAGTGTCATTTTTTTTGGTCCTAGTGCAGGTTTTAGTGACTTAAATTGACTTATCGGAATAAAAGCTCAGCCTAAAATCAAAACCAAGAGACACCGCTGGCGTCAACTAACTTTCCAAGCAAAATAAAAAGGTTCGGCCTTAGCTGCTTATCGTTTGGATGCACCTGCTCCAGACTAAAACTAAAAGTTTAATATCTATAATATGCAATGTAGACATACACTGATCCTTTTTTTAATTATTTATGTATGAACTTTGGATGAAACTGGCCTCCAAACACCAGAGGGAGCCGCAGAGATGAATGAGACGCATAGAAACTAGTGTCTGTTGAATAAAAAGCAGGAACTTATGAATGTTTTATATAAAATAAGAAATGTATGATATCCCTGAGCTGCTGCTGTGGGGTGTGTGCGTGCTCGGATTATTGCTAAATGTAAATGTTTAACTAAACACATCCAAAGAGGAAAGGGACAGGTTTCTTATGGTTAAGTCTAAAAGTATCTAATTATACAATCAGCGTTTTCCCCGAAGCATCTGCCACGTTGTTTTGACCTTCAGAAAACTGGAACATCTGCAAACTGGTCATGACTAAAACTGCATAGTCTTATAAAGACGTGTATTAATATATAACTAATATTACTGCTATAGTACTTTCACTGCTTGTTCGTACGCAGCAGTCATCAGTAAATGTACCCACAAAACTATACAAGCAGATATCTTTGAAGTGATTGGAAGGAATGTTAGACTTTGTGCTTAAAATACTCACAGGCAGCTGGGCAGCGGTGTAATTAAAAGTACCACTTGAAATGCCTCCAGTGACGTCACCACTGGGAAAGTGCTAATCTTCATGAAATGTACTTTTCCCAGTTACACAGAACCCTGCTCCAGCTCGATGAACACTTGTCTTTCGTGTCTTTCTCAGATCATATTTGCGGATGAATGCACGGAGGCAGAAGGCCGCCACTGGCACATGAAGCACTTCTGCTGCTTCGAGTGTGAGACGGTGCTCGGCGGACAGCGCTACATCATGAAGGAGGGCCGGCCCTACTGCTGCTCCTGCTTCGAGTCGCTCTACGCCGAGTACTGCGACTGCTGCGGGGAACACATCGGTATGCACACATTTTAGTTGGGAATAAAAGCTAAAGACTGGAAATGCCCCCTCAGAGAAGTGCAGTTAAACTGCTAGATTGTTCACAAATATTTAATGAACTCTATAAACTGACACCATTAGGAAACATTCTGGGGGCAGATGGCAATTATTATCCTAAAACTGTTTCCCTCTGTAACCTCTGGCCGTGCTCTTCTAGAATCCTGGAGATGCTAATTGCAAAGCGTTGTTTAGTCGTCAGTGAAGCATGAGGCGTTTGAATATAACTTCTACTCTGTGGGACATTTGTGTTTTTCAGGGATTGATCAAGGCCAGATGACGTACGATGGTCAGCACTGGCATGCTACTGAGGGCTGCTTCTGCTGTGCCCGCTGTCGGCGCTCTCTCCTGGGACGGCCTTTTCTGCCCAAACAGGGCCAGATCTTCTGCTCTCGCGCCTGCAGCCTTGGGGACGAGACTAACGGCTCTGATTCTTCAGACTCAGCTTTCCAAAGCACTCGCTCCACACGAGAGTCCAGGCGCAGCTCAAAGGCGGGGAAGAGCGGAGGCGAGGGAGGGGGACTGGTCGATAGATTCTCTGGTGAAGTAGACCCTCTGTCTTTACAAATGGACCTCCTCAGTCTCTCCAGCCAAACGCCCAGTTTGAATCGGGAGCCTCCTGCTTGGAAGAAGCAGGAGCAGCTGTGTCAAAGCTATGCGTACGAGGCACAGGCAGAGATGGTCGCCAAACCCACTCCTCTGGAGCTCCTCAGCCAGTGCAATGTCAGGACTACGTATAACAGCAGCCAGCAGGAGCACAGGAAGCCCCTGCTCTCAGCCTTGAAGGGCCATTCTCTAAACGAGGGCTGGTTTTCAGGAGCAGCCGATGAGTACCACCTGCCGAAACTCTGCTCTCAGAAGAGCTTCACAGAGGTGTCTCAGTGCACTCAGCACCACTCTGGCTTCTCCGCAGACAAGCGCTCCGTCAGTCTGCACGGCTTCCAGCGCGACAGAGAGCCTCATTCTGCTGCCGTGGCCCGCAGCAGGAACCCAATCAACGCACTTACCTTCACTGAGCACCTCACGCCGCTTGAGCAGACGCCCCGAGGCTCCATGGAATCTATTGGAATTCCTAAAAGTATCAGTGAGTATTCCTGTTTGTGTCATGACCTTAAACAATATTATCAGTACATTAAATGTGAGTGTCATGTGTTTTCCAGGTAATCCATCTGAAGGAGCGGCGAAGCACCAGGAGCAGCTCTCGCGCTTCTCGATGCCAGACCTGAGCAAAGACTCTGGAGTGAACTCTGACAAGAGCAACATGAACACATTGAACTCCTCTGTGCAGTTCCGCAGCTCTGAGTCCTTGCACAGCCTCACAGCAGGACAGGCCTACCTGGAGATGGAGTCCCCCCACCCTCCATCGTACCAGGGCCAGTACTGTGAGGGCCCCATGGCCGGGGGCTGCAGCAGGGCTCATGTCCCTCCTGGCTTTACCTTCCAGGAGGAAGACCGGGTCGGTTTAGTGAGCAGCGCTAACGCAGCACGCCTGCCCCCCATCAGCGAGCGAAGGGTCAGTGCTGCGGCCGGAGGGAGGGGGTTCAGGATGGACGCTCAAGAGGACACTCCACAGAGACGCAGGCACCACCACCGGCCCCGTCGCTCCCGTCGCTCTCGCTCAGAAAACGCCCTGAACCTGGCGTGTGAGCGCAGGCCGCAGCCTCAGGAGCGCCCTCAGCTGAGGGTGCAAGAGGACTACGACCGCTTCTCTGCAGCGCGGGGCCGGGATCAGTACGGTGCCTCTGGGAGGTCCCAGCCCCAGCCCTTCAGACCCTGTCCCAGGACCACCTCTGACCTGTGCCTGCAGAACCCTCACATGCGCCACTCGGGACTGAACCAGTTTTCATGGGACGACTACGACGACGACTGCTGCTCCACCTGCTCCTCCTCCTCAGAGTCCGAGGACGAGGGATACTTCCTGGGCGAGCCCATCCCCAGACCTGTGCACATGCGTTACCGTAGCAACCAAGAGCTCGGCCACAAGTATAACGCTGGAGGAGCCAGTCGGAGCACACAGATGCACTCCCGCAGGAAGAGTAAGAACTGCATCATCTCCTAACGATGACTGAGTGATGACCCAGTGTGACGCCTGTGTCCAGAGGTGACGCCTGTGTCCAGAGGTGACGCCTGTGTCCAGAGGTGACGCCTGTGTCCAGAGGTGACGCCTGTGTCCAGTGTGACGCCTGTGTCCAGAGGTGACGCCTGTGTCCAGAGGTGACGCCTGTGTCCAGAGGTGACGCCTGTGTCCAGTGGTGACGCCTGTGTCCAGTGGTGACGCCTGTGTCCAGTGTGACGCCTGTGTCCAGAGGTGACGCCTGTGTCCAGAGGTGACGCCTGTGTCCAGAGGTGACGCCTGTGTCCAGAGGTGACGCCTGTATACAGAGGTGACGCCTGTGTCCAGTTAGTATTGACAACAGTAACAGTGCAATGTGTTAACTTAAGTCCTGAGCGTTGAGCACTGTGTGAAGCAGGATGTATTTGATCAATGTCGTCTCTTATTTGTAAATAGACAAAATTATTAATTTCATTTAAGTTAAAGTCCCTGTAAATATGGTTGTAAATGAGGCCTCATATTTTTATATTTTGTATGGATAAAACCCTCTTTGTGAGTGTATGATTTAGTCAGAAAACAACGTGTGCATGTGCTTTTTGACGACTTGTCTTGCATTTGTAATAAACTGAGGATAAATGTCAAACAGTGAACGCATCTGAGTCGTAATGAACGAACAAGTAAAACATTTCTAACTCCGTAATCGTACCCACACCTTTGATGAATGGAGATTGTGCGTTTCCAGTGAGACTGATCTGTGGTAAACCCTGAGACCTGCCACTCTCTGTTAAGTGGATTGTGACGTCCAGGATTAGCTCTTTAATCCAAACTCGTCCATCTGGGAAACACAGGCAGGTGTGAGGCCTGCGATCGGCACCACTGAGATTAGCACAAAAACACTTCACCTAACTTCAACCGCAGCCAACGCGAAGACGCTTTTTGTATTTAAATGCTTAATTTTTCTTCTATGTCCTTCCTTAAATGTACCTGCGTCGTTAAATTACTAAGTTTAAAGGAAAGGTGTGTTTTAAATGGTCTTCGCAAGTTTCAAGACTGTTGTAAATCCCACTTCACAATAGTTCTGAGTAAAAGGTTTCAGACGACGGCAAGAAATATTACACATAAATAATTCATGTATAAATAAAATTCTAATTCATATTTCTGACAAATGTAATAAAAAGATAAGGAATGGAGTTATCATGAAAAGTTAAAATGCTCTTGTCCAGTTCCCAGTGTTCAACTGTGTAGTACCCAGTGGGGGCGGGTCCCGGCTCCAAAGGGGGGGGGTGTACTTGGAAGGAGAATGACTTCTGTTTATTAAAGCACTTATTATTCCTTCTTTATGTGCTGTGAGAAAGCAGAATATGGGTAAATCTCCAAGAGCTTTGAGCCCTCGATTAACTCTAATTAAATCTGAAAAAGCATTTCTCATCTCAGCTCTGGATATGTGCCTTTGATGGTGACACTTCCCTCCAGCTTTTTACAAATACAAACGTTCCCTCCCAAATATCAAACATAAAACCAATAAGTAAGGTATATTCTATAACAGGCCCTATTTAAAGACATGTAAAAAACGTGATCAAAACAACCTGAACTTGGTGAACTACATAAGGAAATGTCGCCATCTATGGACGGAACACAGTCATTACAACCTGAACGCTCAGTTAGTATCAGACTCGTACAAACATCTGACAGTGACTATTTTGAGCAGATTCTTAACTTCTGTCTCGTCTGACATTTTTACATGTAGAATGACCCCGTGTTGACTTTAAACAATGTATTTTAATGAAGCAACATCATGAATGTTAGAATAAATACATTCGAATTATTATTTATATTTTAAAATGCCTTTGAGAGAGGCCGTATATTTGTTATTGTACACGGCAACTGTAGAGATATATTTACAATCAATCCTGTAAAGACACTCACACATTCATACTAGTTTCTTTTTTTAAATAACTATTTTCACCAATTGGCGCGGATACAGAGTTCCTTGGTTTTATAGATGGATCATAATGTATTTTCCAACTTCTACCACTAGATGGGAGTGTTTGCTCATCCTGGTTTCGTCATCCTTGTTTCTGTTTCCACTAAAACAAAACAAAAAAGTAAATATTTTAGAGTTTAGAGTTTTGCATTTTCAGGGAGTGAATTATTATTGGCTCTGGGTCAGATAAACTAGAGTAAGCAAAGCTGAACCAGACTAAACCAGGACGTACACAGAACCAAAATCAAATTAATAATCTAGAGCATAGGTGTCAAAGTCAAGGCCCGGGGGCCAGATCCGGCCCGCGAGACCATTTCCAGTGGCCCCTGAGATGATTTTAAATTATTATATTAAATAGCAGCATTGATGGTATAAGCAACAATGGCATGTTTTCCATTATTAATTTTCTCAAGAAACAACCATAAAATGTAGTTAGTAAAAGTTCGTATTGTTATGTAATGTTTTTTACGAGTCTTCAATTACATTTTTTCTTAAAGAAAAGAGGATTTCCCAATTTTCTGAGGAAAGAACCGCCCTCTCCACTTCTGAACAAAACTCTCTGGTCTGATTGGACGAGCACGAATCACCAGAATGATTGACAGTTGGGAGGACCAATAGTCTGATGATCCACACAGAAGTAGAATATCTTCCTCTACCTTCAATATTTGGTCCAGTTTTGGTCCAGTCCAACTAATGTGAAACAACTCATTTATACAGATACCTTCATATTATAAACAAGTATAATACATTAAACCCACTTATTCTTTCGGCCCCTGATCAGCCCTTTCAGTTTTTATTCGGCCCTCAACCAAAATAAGTTTGACACCCCTGAGTAAACTAAAGCACAGGACCAGGGTCAGAGTAAAACACAGCGGACTCAGCAGATCCTGGACTAGAACACGGTCTCAAAGGTGTCGCCGTCTGTAGGGGGCGCACTGGAGCAGAGGGAGATGGCTCTGAACTCCTCTGAGATCTGCAGAACACTCTTCCCTTTGGTCTCGGGAAGAATGAAGAAGGAGTAGAGGCCTCCCACTAGGCACCAGCAGGCAAACAGCAGGAAGCAGTAGGAGCTCAGTGAGGCCTGCAACAGAACCATGACACCATCAGGACCGTGGTGTTTAAAGGAGGTGGGTCGAACTCAATCAGAAGAGTAACTTTATACATGTTATCTATGTTTGTAAAGTATCTGCTGTAAGTCTGACAAGGTTTTGTAAAAATTAGAAAATAATAATTGTTTGCGGTGTTTAGTTTGGTGTCTTCACGTCATAAATCAGATCGGACGGTCCAATTTTCTTCTGCTTGATCTGGGCCCAGGTTACAGAGGCAGCAGTCTGACACCCAGACATCACTATCCACACACACTCCTCCTTTGGACCTTCTTTGGACCTTCTTTGCACCTCATTTGGACCTTCTTTTGACCTCCTTTTTCACCTTCAATTGGACCTTCTTTGGTCCTCTTATGGACCTCCTTTTGGACCTCCAATTGGACATTCTTTAGACCTTCATGGACCGCCTTTGCACCTTCTTTGGACATCTTTTGAACCTCCTTTGGACCACTTTTGGAACTTCGATTGGACCTCCTTTGCACCCTCTTTGGACCTCTTTTGGACCTCCTTTGGACATGAGTCCTGGATCTAATATCCGCTCTGTCCATGTAAGCCGATCCCTAGGGCATCTCTGAGGTTTCCCATATTAGTTTCTCACTTTTGTTGTTGTTGTTTTTTGCCTGCCTTGCTGATACAGACGGGTCTCAGGCAGTGCTGTCCAAACTTTTTAGTAAGAAGGCCACTTGTCAAGAGGCCTGTCTGTTTCGGGCTTTTAAAATATACTGTATGTCCATATTGATTCTTACCACAGCTACATTAGTGATAGATACAGACTTTTGTGACACAATAAAAAACAAATGCCAGTATAAATTCAAACAAAGTTGACGACAGGATTCCAAAGGTTCTGAGCGTGACTATAGTGGAGGAGCTCAAGTTGGCTGGATGACACTGGGAAAGTACTTCATTGGCTGCTTTGTGTTAAGAAGAAGGAGGTCCTGTTCGTTCCACAGAGAGGACATTTCTCTAGCAAGGCCGGCCTTGGTTTGGACATACCTGGTCTAAGGACTATGATGACCCGGGACATTTATGGACTCATCCCGCCCCCTATGGGTGTTTGTTATTATTGCATTTCCTGTTCGAACTGTTGGATTCTCTGATCTGTTGTTAGCGAAGTGACAACTTTGTGACGTTCTTCGAGACCACAGCTGATGCTTGTGTTACGGCTATACAAAAATAAGTGAATTGAATGAGTTCCAGTGGTATTAAGTACAAATATTGGCTACTGCTGCCACCCTTTCTTCTCATAAACCTTTTCCCACAACACATTCTATTCCAGACGGTGGTGCTCACAATGAGAAAGGGAAAGATGAGACCCAGGAGAGCAAATATCCCCCAGCGATAAATGCCCACCAGGACCACCGCAGCCATACGCTCAGACTGGACAAAGATCTCTGTGCTCAAAGTGTTCACTCCTCCACCTAAAAGAACAAAACATGTACAAACTCAGATGAAAATGAGAAAGTTAATTAATATTTAACTTCACACATACCTGGCCCTCCACAGAAGAAAACTATGACGGTGATGACAAATACAGAAGTAAGGTACGGCACCCACTGAGCGGAATTCTGCAAATGATCACAGGCCTGAGGATTGTCTTTGAGATCCACAGTCGGTGAAAAAGCAGATATTTACCTGGAAATAGACAGTGACGGTGACTAAGACCCAGCACACTGCCATGACGCCATAACCGACCCAGAAGAGGGGCCTCCTCCCGACGTGCTCCATCAGGAAGCCCTGGGACAGAAGGCAAAATGTCAGAATAAAACTTATACTTCAGAACTTTGTGTGAAGTCACTTACGCAGCAGATGGACGTCGTGATTTCTACAACGCCGAGTGCGAGGGTGACGTATCGAATGCTGTCTTTTGGCATTCCCGATTTATAGAAGATGTCGTAGGAGAATGTGCTGACCTTGAAACAAAGACAGATCTGTTTTTTCTTTCATAGCGTCAAGACCAGTGTGTACTCGGCATTTAGAGAAATCTGTAAAAACGTCACATCTGATCTGGAGAAAACTTCAAAACCCAAGTCTTACTAGGATTGCATTGAAACTAAAATGTACTGCGATCTAATATTATCATCATCATCATCATATGCCTCCAAATCGGGTCATCTGTCATTATGACTTCAGGTGTAGTCTGTTCATTGGTATTCACCCGCTGTCCCATTGTCTGTTTCCTTGAATCCAGCCTCGTTCAGGTCCATTACTGTAAACTGTTCAGTTGTAATTCTTCCTTATTCCTCACATATATCCACAGAGGTGCATCATGGGACATACAATGACCATTGTTTCACGCTGGTCTTACCATAGACATGCCAGACATCTGGTTGCAGCCACAGATAAGGAACAGGGTGAACAGTGCCCAGCCCACTGTCCTGGAGCTCAGCAGCTGCAGAGGACTCTTGGGAGGAGCGGCCTCCATCGCTGCCTTCTCCATCAGCATCTCCTCCATCTCCTCTTTGTAGTCCCCCGGACCCCACAGACTCTGCAGCGCTGCAACGGCCATTTACAAGAACAAATCATTCAACACTAAATGTAAGATATCAGGACCATAACTTTGGAATACTATATTCCGGATTTAGAGAAAGAATATAAAAAAGAACTGGAATTAACCAAATGTTTGAGGTCTGATCGAGAATATTTCTTAATGTTTAAGGATCTGAGTGTCTCTGAAACAGCTGTTGTTTTGTGTTTCCACTTGTTATTCTTCTGAGATGTTGCTGCAGTTCAGTGTTAATGGTCCAGACCAGAGCAGAGAGGATTCATGGTTTTACACTGGTCCAGACCAGAGCAGAGAGGATTCATGGTTTTACACTGGTCCAGACCAGAGCAGAGAGGATTCATGGTCCAAAAATGCTAATGAAGCCTTAGCAGTTTATCTATCTAAACATCCATCACTTGTTTTGGAGCCGACAGATTTTCTGACTGTAATCATATATCCATAACTCTCCACAGTGCACAGAGCGTCTGTCCCTGTGCTCACTGTCCCTGTGCTCACCGTCCCTGTGCTCTCTGTCCCTGTGCTCACTGTCCCTGTGCTCACCGTCCCTGTGCTCTCTGTCCCTGTGCTCACTGTCCCTGTGCTCACTGTCCTTGTGCTCACCGTCCCTGTGCTCACCGTCCCTGTGCTCACTGTCCCTGTGCTCACCGTCCCTGTGCTCACTGTCCCTGTGCTCACCGCTCCTGCAGGCCTCATCATCGCCCTTCTCTATGAACAGGTAACGTGGAGCCTCAGGGAAGAAGGGCAGCAGCAGCAGGTTGAGCACAGAGAAGCCGACGGGAACACACAGCAGCACGTTCCACAGCTCGGCACGCCCCAGGACCTCACTGCACACCCAGGAGAGACAAGAGCCATAGTTTAAACTCTACATGTGGCTTTGGAAAATGTATAAAGTGCAATGTTTGTCGATCTATCAAATACCTGAGCCCAAACACCTGTCCGGACAGTTTCCCGAGAGAAGTGAAAGTACTGGCGGTGAAAGTCACTACGCCCCGGAACTTTCTGGGTGAGATCTCCCCGAGGTACAAGAGGTGAGTGCAGGAGCCCAGGCCTGCAGGTCACAGAGCAACAGTATTATATATACAGTATATATATATATATGTGTATATGTATATGTATATACCTGAGTAAAACCCCTGCAGGACCCGAGCCCCTATGACCATCTCATAAGACTCAAACATTTTACTGGTCAGAATCACTAACGCTGCTGCGATGGAAATGCAGCTGTTGCACATCATGGTCTTTTTCCTGTCAGAGAAAAAACTTAACGAGGTAAAAAGGAATTTCTAAAAACATGGCTGAGGAAAATATAGTATTCAGCATTAGCACTGTTGGATTTGGAAAAGCTTCTGAGATGAGTTTGAAAATACAAAACAAGGAAATGTATTGAACTTGAAAACAAACTTCAAATATCTTCCATCCATCCATTTTCTTCCCCTTAATCCATTTCTGGGTCGGGGGGGTGGCAGTCAAAGCTGCTCCCAGTTCACAGAGCCCCAGCCCCTCACTGACCCTCCTGCAGGTGGTGAGTCCACAGGAGCTGAGATCTTTCAGTGGGGGCTTTGGGCAAAGTAGGGTTAAGTGTCTTGCCCAAGGACACAACGACAGCAGTCATCAGTGGGAGTAGTGAAGTAGGTCTTACGGTGGGCTCGAACCCATGACCTTCAGGCCCAAAGGCCAATGCTCTACCAACTGAGCTACTGTCGCCCTTTAAATAATTCAGATTCGGCTAATTTTTCTTTTGCAGTAAAACCACATTGGAATAACTGTGCAAGAGTCCCCCAGTGCGCGCCAATGATAAACCCCAGAGCTATTGCCAGTCTCTCATAACACATATTGTTCTAATATTCCAGAGAGAGAAAAACCAGAGTCAACAATGCTCCGATAGAGCAACACGAGGAACGGGAATCTTCTGCTCTGTTCAGTGTTGATCCTGTGTCGGGACTAAAGGAGGAGGCTCTGTGAAAACAAACAACTGAGCATGTGCAGTTACGATGCACTCGTGATGATTGACAGGCCTTGGCATCACCTGATTGGTTAACGTGGGCGGCATCGTGGATTCTGAGCTATGGCTAAGAGAAGGGAAGGCTGGACTTAATATTAGAATTCCTAAAATGACTTATTAAATATAAACATTTAAGGCCAGGAGGTCAATTTTATACAATTCTTAAAATGTGTCATTCATTTAGAGTTCCAGACTATCTTTAACTCTTTACATGTTCGTTAACAGTTTAGAACAAACTTAATTATACAGTTGCTTTAAAATGAAGTATAACATTCCATTGTATTCCCAAGTAACTGTAATGATAATTTCCGGGGCCACTAAAAATAGTCTCGTGGCCCTGGGGCCTGAGTTTGACCTGCTTTAGACTAAAGCCAGAATCTACCTTCCAAGCTTTGACGACATGAACCGGGCGCTGAGAACCCCCAAGAGCCCCCCCACGGCAAACATGGAGACGATGAGGGACCAGATGATGGTGGTGGTGTGGGGCGGGGGGGCCTCTCCGTGACGGGACGCCCAGCTGCTGTTGATGAAACTCTGGATAAACTGGGACAACACAAGGCAAAGCTCGTGAAGGATCCATCAGCGGTTCAAAAAAACACAATAGATCCAAGAGAAGGGCTCACAGGCGAAGGAGAGCTCAGGCCTGTGATGTGGAAGCCCATGTGGAAGCCGCCTCCCACTCCCAGGACGACCATGAGCAGCACCGCGTTGCCCTGGAGCTGAAGGAGAACCACACACGACCACTTTGGAAGATTTACTTCATTTATTCAGTTCTTTAGTTCTTCACATGTTTCTGGTTAAAGAGCGACTAAACACCTGTGCCCAGCCTGACTCCGCCCACAATAACTCTATGAAAAGGGCGTGGCCAGAGGACCAGGGGACAAGAAGGGGGGCTTAGAGGTGGGCGTGGTCTGGGCTGTCAATCACAGCCACACAAATTGGCTGTGGTGGTCAACTGATGTAATGTAATTTCAATCCACTAGATGTCGCCAGAATACTCCAACTCGCTGCTGGGGCGTGTGAGAGACTTGGATGTGTGAGTGACGTCACACATCACTCCAGAGCCAATGGAGAGGCCAGGACCAAATTCAAATGTAGAGACAGACGCTTTTAGGCTCAACAGTGAGATTTTATCTAATTTGCGCTAAAAAGTCTTTACTTTACTTTATTCTCTGTGTTTTCAATGTAAAAAAGTCAGATGTTGGTGACACTTGGTGAGCATTATACACTGTACAGACGAAAACTACTGTATAGTTACACATGACTATTTAGAGAAGTAACTGAGTACAAGACACATACAGTATGCATGTATGTGTCTATGTATGTGTGTACGTACTGTATGTGTGTGTACGTACTGTATGTGTGTTTGTATACGTGTGTATGTACTGTATGTGTATGCATGTATTGTGTGTGTGTGTATATGTATGTGTGTGTGTGTGTGTGTGTGTGTACTGTATGTCTTTTACATATTTACTGCTTTTTGCATTTCTAAATCATTGTGCAACAAAAACACAGTCACTTACAGTATTTCCGTGTCAGAATATCTATCATGATGGTAGAACTGTGACAAATGTAAATGATAAAACACACACTTCCTCATGACTGAAGCTGAAACTCACCTCAGAGAAACTGTTCAATTTAGGAAAAAATTGATGAATGTATGAAATTAGTTTGACATATTTTGGTTTTGAACTAGTTTAACAGTTTTGTTTGTGATACTAAAGCGATGAAATCAGGACTTTTGGTTTTATAGTGAAAGACTTTTCAGAAGTGATAAGTATGTTTCATTTTGACTGACAGGACAGAAGCAAATGATAATGTTCTAAAACACAGAGAATTGTATGAAAGTAACTGATACATGTCCAAAAGTATTTGTAATCTGTTCAAAGGAGAAACTGCTGCGATGATGTCACACATGACTCAGTGTTGAGGAGGTTGAACTGATCATTTTGAGAAGTTTAAGTCTGAGAAAGGCACCAAAGCGACTGAGAAACACTGTAATCAAAAACGAACAGCTGCCAGAGTGTCTTACCAGCTGCTGCAGAAACGTGTCCATTGTGTGTCCTGGAACATTGTTGGACACTGAGGGGTCAGGGATTTATGTGAGCCTGGACTCTGTCATATCATCGTGCTTATCATTAACTGTTCAACAGACTGAAACCAGCTCCTCAACAGCTTTGTCATGTTCATTATACAGTAGATACTGACGCTGGATCAGGAAAGGACAAATCAACACACATCATAGACAGATAGACAGATACAGAGATAGATAGATACAGAGATAGACAGATACAGAGATAGACAGATACAGAGATAGACAGATCCAGAGATAGATAGACACAGAGATAGATACAGAGATAGACAGATACAGAGATAGACAGATACAGAGATAGACAGATACAGAGATAGATACAGAGATAGACAGATACAGAGATAGACAGATACAGAGATAGACAGATACAGAGATAGATACAGAGATAGACAGATACAGAGATAGACAGATACAGAGATAGATAGACACAGAGATAGATAGATCCAGAGATAGATAGATACAGAGATAGATAGATACAGAGATAGATAGATCCAGAGATAGATAGATCCAGAGATAGATAGATACAGAGATAGATACAGAGATAGACAGATAAAGAGATAGATAGATACAGAGATAGATAGATACAGAGATAGACAGATAAAGAGATAGATAGATACAGAGAGACAGATACAGAGATAGACAGATACAGAGATAGACAGATACAGAGATAGACAGATACAGAGATAGACAGATACAGAGATAGACAGATACAGAGATAGATAGATACAGAGATAGATAGATACAGAGATAGATAGATACAGAGATAGACAGATACAGAGATAGATACTTTTATTGATCCCTGTAGGATAAATGCAGGTGTCCAGTAGCAGCAGAAACACATCCGTTTATCTGATACTTCTGCCATTCACCAGTCACTTTACTGTTGATATTATTACCATTGTTTATTCTGCTCATATTCTCCGCTGCTAAAGTGCAATATACACATCTGTAAATACTTCTGAACCAAGTGCAATTGTGGCTCCAAAGTTTTATTTTATTTTATTCTATTCTACCATCTTGTGCAGCATGACACTGACATTTCTCCACTGTGGGACCAATAAATGAATATCTAATCGTAAACCGTGGGCGGCAGGCTGAGTGGTTAGCACTCTCGCTTCTCAGCAAGAAGGTCCTGGGTTTGAATCTCGGTCGGAACAGGGCCTTTCTGAGTGGAGTTTGCATGTTCCCCCCGTGTCTGCGTAGGTTTCCTCCGGGTGCTCCGGTTTCCCCTACCACTAAAAACATGCACAATAGGTCTGAATGTAAATGAGAGAGTGATGGTGTTGGAGCTGATGGTCCAGTGTGTTCTGGACTCGCTTCTGTCATCACCGTGTGTGGAAGGATTGGAACAATATCTGACTCTGAACATTGGAAAGTGCTTTGGGTCTGACCTTGGTCTGTAAAATGCGCTATACATAGTTCCCACAGACCAATGAATGTCACATGACCTCCTCGGAGATGCCATCTTTGATGGCACGCTGCTGTGTTTGTGCATTCCATTAAACAGAAGAATGAGAATAAATGTAGATATTCAAACGCAAATTGGAAAAAAAGGGCAACTTTTGAGCAAATAATTGTATATTAATACAATGGCACCACAGTTTAACGTGCTACGGACATGTTTTACATATTTGATCAAATTATGCAGCAAAAATTAACAAGCAATGCAAACATTTCTCAAAAACTTTAGATTTAATACCAGTTGGAGCTCCATTTAATTATTTTAATTATATTAACAATTAATTTAATTAATGCTAATGCCACACGGACACTCTGGATTGCTGTTATTGTTTATTTCCGCGTTTTTGACCGTATGTTTTGGTGAATGGTGGGCAACTGATTTTTCCAGGCGTAAAGAGCAGTTTATTTTATGACACAGATCTTTTTACAGAAGCAATGCTGTTTGTGAACATTGTTTTAGCCCACCATAGAACTATTATTATCTATTTAATACATTTACGTTGCCCTCGAGAGCCTCGGACGCGACACCGATCCTCCTCATAATAAAGTAATCTAACGCTAAATAATGAAACTCTCAAGTTACCAGCTATCAGCATACACAAGTTAGTACTGAGTAAATTACGTCTGTCAACACATTATAAGATACGATACGCACCTGACACAAAGTGCTCCGAGCATATTCTTGCGTGTTTTGAGGGAGTTTCTTGCCTGTTTATCTTCGCAAGCCATAACCTCCGTGGTTGTTCTGACAAAAGCTTAGTCTTCTCACATTCATGAAGTCTAATGATGGGTATACTGTAAAATCCAAGTTTAACGGAACCTCCGGCACGATTTGAACATCCATTGACCCAGCAGGAGACGACCATTTTCAACTTTATCACGACATTAACACGTTTCAGCTTCTTTTTCTATTGTTTTGCCCACAGAATGCCAACACAAATGGCGCCGGGTCGGCAAATCCCCGTATGTAGTGACGTCATGTGGGAACTATGTATATAAATAAACATTACTTAATACTTACTTACAAAACACATCCATCCAAACAATCAAAACAAATAAATAGATCATTCTAAAAGTAAATAACAATAGTATTAAACACAACAGCACTTTAGGTCACAGCAGCGGAGGTGGAGCCAACACTGTTATCCATGATAAAAACCCCATATAACATGTTGTGAGACATGCAGCTCCTCTCTCGGCCGCAGGGGGCGCTGCTCGCAGAGGAACAGAGCTCCTCTCTCGGCCGCAGGGGGCGCTGCTCGCAGAGGAACAGAGCAGAGCTTCCGGTGTGTTTCCCGTAGTCATCACAGCTCAGCGCCGTCAGTGTGTTTTCCTCAGCTCTGCTTCATACAATTGTTCTTTATTTTTTTGGGTAAAATGCCGCTGGAAAACCTGGAAGAGGAGGGTCTGCCCAAGAACCCGGACCTGCGGATCGCTCAGCTCAAGTTCCTGCTCACGATGGAGGGCCACAGGCAGGATCCTAACGTCAGGACCGAGCTAATGGATGCTATCAAAGCTAACAGTGAGCTAGCATGTGTTACTCTGGGTTTATGTGTTATTCTGTGTGTCCATAGAGATGTGTGCTGTGCTAATGGCACGGCTATGTACAGGAAAAACATGCAGCTCTGAGGTGGAGAAAGGAGAGAGAGAAGAGAGGGTAGAGAGAGAAGAGGAGAGAGAGAAGAGAGGGTAGAGAGAGGAGAGAGAGAGAGAAGAGAGGGTAGAGAAGAGAGGGTAGAGAGAGAGAGAGGAGAGGGTAGAGAGAGAGAAGAGAGGGTAGAGAGAGAGAGAAGAGAGGGTAGAGAGGGGAGAGAGAGAGAGAAGAGAGGGTAGAGAAGAGAGGGTAGAGAGAGAGAGAGGAGAGGGTAGAGAGAGAGAAGAGAGAGGGTAGAGAGGGGAGATAGAGAGAAGAGAGGGTAGAGAGAGGGTAGAGAGAGGATAGAGAGAGAGAAGAGAGGGTAGAGAGGGGAGAGAGAGAGAGAAGAGAGGGTAGAGAGAGAGAGAGGAGAGGGTAGAGAGAGAGAAGAGAGGGTAGAGAGAGAGAGAAGAGAGAGTAAGAGAGGGTAGAGAGAAGGATAGAGAGAGAGAGAAGAGAGGGTAGAGAGGGGAGAGAGAGAGAGAAGAGAGGGTAGAGAAGAGAGGGTAGAGAGGGGAGAGAGAGAGAGAGAGAGAGGGTAGAGAAGAGAGGGTAGAGAGAGAGAGAGAGAGAGGGGTAGAGAGAGAGAAGAGAGAGGTAGAGAGAGAGAAGAGAGGGTAGAGAGGGGAGATAGAGAGAAGAGAGGGTAGAGAGAGGGTAGAGAGAGGATAGAGAGAGAGAAGAGAGGGTAGAGAGAGGGTAGAGAGAGGGTAGAGAGAAGAGAGAGAGAGAAGAGAGAGAGATAGAGAGAGAGAGAAGAGAGAGGAGAGAGAGAGAGAGAAGAGAGGGTAGAGAGAGGAGAGGGTAGAGAGAGAAGAGAGGGTAGAGAGAGGGTAGAGAGAGGGTAGAGAGAGGGTAGAGAGAAGAGAGGATAGAGGAGAGAGAAGAGAGAGGATAGAGAGAGAGAGAAGAGAGAGGAGAGAGAGAGAGAAGAGAGGGTAGAGAGAGGGTAGAGAGGGTAGAGAGAGGGTAGAGAGAGAGAGAAGAGAGAGAGAGAGAGAGAGAGAGAGAGAGAGGGTAGAGAGAGGAGAGGGTAGAGAGAGAAGAGAGGGTAGAGAGAGGGTAGAGAGAGGGTAGAGAGAGGGTAGAGAGAGGGTAGAGAGAGGGTAGAGAAGAGAGGGTAGAGAGGAGAGGAGAGGGTAGAGAGAGGGTAGAGAGAGAGAGGAGAGGGTAGAGAGAGGGTAGAGAGAGGGTAGAGAGAGGGTAGAGAGAGGGTAGAGAAGAGAGGGTAGAGAAGAGAGGGTAGAGAGGAGAGGAGAGGGTAGAGAGAGGGTAGAGAGAGGGTAGAGAGAGGGTAGAGAGAGGGTAGAGAGAGGGTAGAGAAGAGAGGGGTAGAGAGGAGAGGAGAGGGTAGAGAGGGTTGAGAGAAGAGAGAAAAGAGAGGATAGAGAGAGGGTAGAGAAGAGAGGGTAGAGAGGAGAGGAGAGGGTAGAGAGAGGAGAGAAGAGAGGATAGAGAGAGGGCAGAGAGAGGAGAGAAGAGAGGAGAGAGAGAGGGTAGAGAGAGAGAGAAGAGAGGATAGAGAGAGGGTAGAGAGAAGAGAGGATGGAGAGAAGAGAGGGTTGAGAGAGAGAGAGAGAGCAGGAGAAGGGACCAGGGAGATGCTTTTTCTTTTCTCTGCTCTGGGAGGACTAAAGAAAGGTTCTCTAAATCTAACTAGTTTGTAAATCAAAAAACATGTAAGACTGACTCTATTTTAAGTTAAAAAGCTGCTTTATTCAAGACGACATGTTGGAAAGGATAAACATCAAATGCATTAGATTAAAGCTCCGGTACGTAAAGTTATTATGGTGTAGAAAGGGTCAGGATTGTGGAGATGTAAACTCACTTTTAGCTAGTTTTATTAGTGACAACAATAGTAAAGGTTAAAACGTACTGTTACATTGGATTTAAAGTCACATAATAATACGTTTCTCTCAGAGCCCATTGTCTGAACGTCTCAAACAGGGGGGGTCGAACCCACAACCTTCCGGCTCATAGGCTAATGCTCTACCAACTGATACAGGTTTTGAGGACAGTAAATTCTAACCAACAGAAATATACTCGCTAAAGTCACACACACAGCATCCAAAACCATCAGTCTCCTCTCCACAGACCTCTCACTCCACAGACCTCTCACTCCACAGACCTCTCACTCCACAGACCTCTCACTCCACAGACCTCACAGCAGTAGGCAAGGCAAGGCAAGTGTATTTGTATAGCACAATTCATACACAAGGCAATTCAAAGTGCTGAACAGAACAAGAAAGCATTAAAATCATAAATAATCACAGTACATTAAAAAAAAGATAAAAATGTAAAATCCCTCAGTTGTAGCACAGCTAAACAGAACCGTCTTTAACCTGGTTTTAAACATTGTCTCACATCTTCAGGAAGACTGTTCCCTATTTTAGCAGCATGAATCTGAAAAGCAGCCTCCCCATGTTTAGTTCTGACTCTGGGCCCTAACAGGAGTCCAGTCCCTGTGCTCCTCAGAGTCCCAGCAGGAGTCCAGTCCCTGTGCTCCTCAGAGTCCCAGCAGGAGTCCAGTCCCTGTGCTCCTCAGAGTCCCAGCAGGAGTCCAGTCCCTGTGCTCCTCAGAGTCCCAGCAGGAGTCCAGTCCCTGTGCTCCTCAGAGTCCCAGCAGGAGTCCAGTCCCTGTGCTCCTCAGAGTCCCAGCAGGAGTCCAGTCCCTGTGCTCCTCAGAGTCCGGGCTGGTTCATATGGGACTAACATGTCACTAATATATTTTGGTGCGAGGCCATGGAGAGACTTGTAACAAGCAGAGCTGTTTTAAAGTCTATTCTCTGAGCCACAGGAAGCCAGTGCAGGGACCTGAGGACCGGACTAATATGGTCGTACTTCCTGGTTCTAGTCAGGACTAATGTGGTCGTACTTCCTGGTTCTAGTCGGGACTAATATGGTCGTACTTCCTGGTTCTAGTCAGGACTCGAGCTGCTGCATTTTGAATGTACTGCAGCTGTTTTACAGCCTGTTTGGACAGACCTGTGAGCAGGCCATTGCAGTAGTCTAACCTACTGGAGACAAATGCATGGATAAGAATCTCCAAGTCTGCTTTAGACACTATGTTTTTGATCCTGGCAATGTTACACATGGCCCGGACAGCTCTGAACAGTCTGTCCTTTTGCCCTTGTTCTTGGGTTGTATGTGTCTCTCTCTCTGTGTTTTCTGTGTATCTTGTGTCTATTGTAACTTGACAGTGTTTGTGAAAATGAACTTCCTCGGGGGACATTAAAGGCGTATCTATTCCATATACAGAGAATACTATGAAACCCTCTCACTAAAACTGCAACCACGTCATTCAAAATTATACATTGTTTTTGTTAAAACCTGAAGGATAAAAAGACACAGCTAAAATCTGTCTTATCTTATGATTGTGTGGCTGCTTTATGTAACTGTCTGTACACACGGTCACTCCATTGCTCTCTGCCCTAGACATGGCTCCTTATTACGAGGCTCTTTGTAAGGACCTGAAGTGGCAGCTGGACACCGACCTGCTCAGCAAAATGAAGAAGTCGAACGAAGAGGAGCTGAAGCGCCTCGATGATGTGCTGGAGGACGCTGAGAAAAACCTGGGAGAGAGCGAGATACGAGACGCCATGATGGCCAGAGCAGAATACCTCATCAGAATCGGGGACAAGGTGAAGTCAACCGTCTGCTTCTGTTTTTCTTTTTTAACCAAACGTGTGGGATTGTATTTCACCAGATAAAACATGAGGAATAGAAATGGGGTACTCTGTACTCAACATTTATTTGTATTGGATTATTTATAAATGGTCTTTTGTACAAAAAGCTGAAAAGTATAGAAGTATATGGTAGAAAAAGTTATCTAAACGTGTCATTTTGGTCTGTTTATGTAATTTTATATAATCTATACTTGCTCAAATTTGTATCTACTTTTCTACATTCTTATGTCTGATTTTCACTACTTAAGACAATCCTACCCTATAGAGCCATCCCTGCATTAGAAGGAATCCAGTACATCCTGTTTTAAAATAGATCTAATTTTCCCTAGGATTACAAAACAATTGATACTTACAGTTTGTTGTTTTCAGGAGAGTGCCTTAACCGCGTTCAGAAAGACCTACGACAAGACTGTGGCTCTCGGACACAGACTGGACATCGTCTTCTACCTGCTGAGGATCGGCCTCTTCTACATGGACAGCGACCTCATCACACGCAACTCTGAGAAAGCCAAAAGGTAAAAGATTTTATACATTTATACATTTATTCGACTGGTCTGGGACTGCCGAGGCCCGGTCTGTGACTGCCGAGGCCCGGTCTGTGACTGCCGAGGCCCGGTCTGTGACTGCCGAGGCCCGGTCTGTGACTGCCGAGGCCCGGTCTGTGACTGCCGAGGCCCGGTCTGTGACTGCCGAGGCCCGGTCTGGGACTGCCGAGGCCCGGTCTGGGACTGACTAATGTACTGTGTCCTCTGTCCTCTGGGTGCAGCCTGATCGAGGAGGGCGGGGACTGGGACCGGAGGAATCGGCTGAAGGTTTACCAGGGGCTGTACTGCGTCGCCATCAGAGACTTCAAACAAGCGGCCGAGCTCTTCCTGGACACGGTTTCCACGTTTACGTCGTACGAGCTCATGGACTACAAGACCTTCGTCACGTACACCGTCTACGTTTGCATGATCGCACTCAAACGCCCAGACCTGAGAGAAAAGGTCGAGTATGAGCTGCTTTTTTTTAAGCTAAAATGCAGAAGATAAATATGATTCTGACTTGGTCTTGGTCTTGGTCTTGGTCTTGTGCAGGTGATTAAAGGGGCGGAGATCCTGGAGGTGCTGCACAGTCTGCCTTCTGTTCGTCAGTATCTGTTCTCTCTCTACGAGTGCCGCTACTCGGTCTTCTTTCAGTCCCTAGGTATTGTCCACTTATTTTTTTATTTAATATGGACACAACAGTGACATTGGACCGACCAGATGCACTGCCTTTAGTGTTAAAGCCTGGTCGTACCACACCATAGTACTAATTACATTCAGTTTCTTGATAGAACCAGACCGGAATACTTTACAATCTCATTCTTCGCCAAACTACATAAACTGGGACCGTGGACCTGTGTGACAGTTGTTCAATCCTTTGCTAAAGTAAACCATTTAAATCCCCCATGTTTTAAGCAGAGAAACCTTTAAAGCCGCTCTGTGTCATTTCTACAGTTGCTCCAAATCAAAAACAAATTTGACTTTTTAAGCATATTCTCCTCCACCAGACGTCTAGAATTTACTTATAAATGTCCCTGAGGCTGAGGACTCTGTGTTAATCCTTCATCTTGAACTACAGAGGCTGATAAGGGACAAAAATGGGTTTGAGCTCAAGTTGGGGACTACTGTCAGAGACGGCTTTTTGTCCTGTGAAGCCACCGTAGATTATAAAACATGATCTGAGCTACATGGGAGTAAAAACTACACAGTACCTTTAACTCCATGCTAGATAATACTCAATACTAAAAATACTCACTTTTGTTAAAGCTGTAATTATTATGTATGAAGCCGTCTCTGTCTTTTCTCAGATTGTATTGTGGAAATGTTCTTTTAAATCTTTTGGATCGAGAGTAATTTGTGTCAAGTGGGTTTTTTTTTTATGAATAATTTGTATTTAATAAAAGCACTAGACATCTTAAGCAAACAAAAACAGTGGCAGTTACAAACAATAAAAGGGTTAGATTCCTTTCTGAGTGGAGTTTGCATGTTCTCCCTTTATCTGTGTGGGTTTCCTCTGGGTGCTCCGGTGTCCCCTACCACTCAAACACGTAGAATAGGTCCGCCAGTGTGTTCGGCGTCTCAGAATTATAATGACTGGTACATTACTGGTTTTACCCTGGTTTGTAAAATATGAATAAAAACATGACTTTCTTCATAACTGCCTAATTTTTGCCTAAAGTACATTTTTCTTTGTCGTTGCCGTAGCGACGGTGGAACAGGAGATGAAGAAGGACTGGTTGTTTGCGCCTCACTACCGCTACTACGTGCGGGAGATGAGGATCCAGGCGTACGGGCAGCTGCTGGAGTCGTACCGCTCCCTCACGCTGGGCTACATGGCCGAGGCGTTCGGGGTCGGCACAGAGTTCATAGATCAGTAAGTGCACGGATTGCACACGCTAAGATTTACACGCTAAAGATTAACGACTTTCACAAAGTACAAACGAAGGGCACAGATTAGCTGTAAGTAAAACAGGATTATTTTGCAGATATGTGTGTTTTTGTCCTCCTGAAGTGAATGAGTGCTTTACTAATTAGAAGGTTTGAGTTCCGGTCGGTAAAGGGTCTTTCTGAGTGATGAAGGTTTCCTCCGGGTGCTCCGGTTAGCCACTGAATATAACCTGGGTCACTAAAACATGTAGAATAGGTAAACTCCTCTGGTCCTGACCAAGCCGAGGACTAGACATCTTTCTCGAGAAAACAAAAACAGTGGCAGTTGAAGAAGATGACATAGTCTGGGATCGCGTCTTTAATTCAAACAGAAGACATGTTTTATTGTCGATGGTAGAGACAGCACGAACAACACGAACAACAGATACAACAGAATGCAAGTGTATTATACAGAGCGGAGGCATGGAGACCTCCAATCAGCAGCTGCCACAGTGCCATGTAGCTTGGCCTTCAGATAGACACAACAAGACATGAGTTTAACTTTAACAAAAGTTGCTTCAAAGTGTTATGAAATCTCACGCAGTTACAAACAATAAAAAAGTTAGATTCCACCTCCAGGTCTTTCTGAGTGGAGTTTGCATGTTCTCCCCGTGTCTGTGTAGGTTTCCTCCAGTGCTCCGGTTTCCCCTACCACTAAAAACATGTGCAATAGGTCTGTGCCTCCTGTACTGGCCCCGCTCCCATCTCTGTGTGGAGTGACAGACAAGTAGTGCCCACAATTATAAACCGCTTTGACTCTGGTTTGTGAAAGGCGTTAAATAAATAAATATTATTTACTTACTTTGAATAGATGGTTCCCGGGGGCTGTTACTACGGCAACCACTGCTCCTGACGAAAGCCTTAGTGGCGTCTGGGTCAAATACAGAGGACAAATTTCTCTACGGGGCTAATATTCTGCACATTTACATTCAGACAAACGGCAAATCTGATTTTAGCATCTTTGATAACTTGTGTTGTTGACGCTGATGTAAAAATCCTCAGTTATTGAACATTTTTCTGTTTTCCAGGGAACTTAGTCGCTTCATCGCTGCCGGGCGTCTTCACTGTAAAATTGATAAAGTGAATGAGATCGTGGAGACAAACAGGTAAAGTCCCTGGTGTTTTGTTTTCCTCTTGTTTTTGCCTGATGTGTTTTCTCTTGTCCCCTCAGACCCGACAGTAAAAACTGGCAGTACCAGGAGACCATAAAGAAGGGAGACTTGTTGCTGAACCGAGTGCAGAAGTTGTCCAGGGTCATCAACATGTAGCTCCTAAAGCCTTTTTCTTTATTTGCCAACCCAAACTTGTTTTTTGCCTGACGATATTTCGTGTATATAATAAAATTTGTTAACCAGAAACAGCTTCTCTGACCCAGGAGTCCTTTATATAGTTTAATATTACAATACGACTTAAGAATCACTTATGTATATTTGTATTTATATATGAAGTGATATCAGGCGTATCCCATGTAAATTTACATAGTTAAATTTAAAGCAGGGGTACTTAAGTTTGTATTATAGCAATTTAGGATAAAAATACCCCTAAAAGACAGATAATGTATTTGTTCCTCTGAGATCTGAGTTTGACAATAAGACACGGGAAGGACATGAAACTTCTGCTCCATTAATGAAAAGTACAAGTTCTTTTAATATCATTGTTTCTGCTCTACTGCTTTTCCTTTTCAATATTTATATAAATATTCAGCCTGTGGCCAGTTCTCTGCTGTTGGGATCCCAACACTGACAGAGCGAGCGACAACTGATTTTATTTGGAAAATCAATCCCATAGAGCGGGGATGTCAAAGTCAAATACATCAGAGGCCAAAACAACTAATTTTCTACAAGCCGAGGGCCGGACTGGTTCAATGTTCATTAAAACATTAAGATGAACCAAGAGCTTCCACAGTTGACCATATGTTATTAAAAACAAACTCCCTTCAAAGAGAAAACACAAGAATAATATTTTCTCATCTGTGCGGCCAGTTCTAACGTTAAACAAATATCATCCCAGGGGCCAAGATAATTTATTCTTGGGCCGTATCTGGTCCCCGGGCCTTGACTTGGACACCTAGGCCATAGAAGTCCCAAAACCGTGAGTCTGAGTCAAAACTAGTCCCTCAAGAGTCGAGGCACACGTCTGAAAATGGCGACTTGAGTCCGAGTCCCGATCTCTGCCAGAACATTTGTGTGATGGAAGAGGCAGACACATTATTTCATATAAATAGCAGTATAAATTATTTTATTTACAGAAACTTGTTACAAAACAAATACTATACAATCATATTTTCTTTAAATATTAATTCTATTCTATGTTTGTTCATGAATTACATAGCAGCCAATACAAGTCCAGCTGAAAACTGATAAAGAAATTTACTCACGCCTTTACAGAAAGAAGGGTCAATTTCTTTTTCCTTTCATAAATCATGTCACATTCAACAAATATGCTCATAAAACACCCGTACAGTGTCTGTCTTTCGGAACTGATCTTAAGATGTGATTTTGGGGTCGAGGAGAGAAGCTTTGCAAACGTAATTCAACGCCGTGCGAAGGCTGATGAAAAGTGGTCAGTAAAATGTCAAGCTGCCGCCAACGAAAGCTCTGCGCCAAAATTCATAAACACCTCCTTCCTTCAATCTCTAACCTCACAAAAGTCCGACAAACAAACTTGAAATGACGTGAGATAAACCTGGAGCTCTCCTCGTCTCACAGAAGGTCAACTATAAAGGAAACGAAAGGAGCAAGGAGGTAAGTTTTGAATTTGGATGCAGCCTGTTTTCCCACACACAGGAATAGGCAGAACATGACTTTAACACTTTCAAGTAACAACCCAAACACTGTCCTCAAACAGTCAAAAATGTGGAACTAATTCAGGCACTTTCTTAAATTGATCCATTAAATTTAAAAGTTGCAAACGTATTTGTTTAAAAGCTGTCGTATCCAGAGCTAGTTTGGCAAATATGTGTGAGCGAGTGTCTTGTGATTGTTTCAGTCCCTTCAGTCGGGATGTGCGATACTTTTGTATTTGAAACTCAATCTGAAGCTAGAATCACCTCTGCAAGCCTGATTTAAATATATAACTTTCTGTTTGCATATTATTTCAACATAAATTCACATTTGACGACACTGCTGAGCATTTACAACGTCTGAACGGTTGTATAGTTGCTTCTGCACAGTTGAAATGTCAAAAATGAACGCTTTGACTTTTGATTTGATTGCCAGTATTAACCCAGAACTGATTCGCACATCCTGAACCTTCTGTCTAAAAAAGAACACGGCCAATGGAGTCAACAAATACTGCTCTAGAAAGCCATCATGGAACCTTTTTAGCCAATTCTTTATGATTTGTTTGAATCATTAAAAGCGCGGAAACAAACTGCAAATAGTCAAAGGGTCATGTGACTTATCCCGCCCATTTTATATGATCATGTGACTTGTCCCGCCTCTTGTGTGTGATCATGTGACTTGTCCCGCCTCTTGTATGTGATCATGTGACTTGTCCCGCCTCTTGTATGTGATCATGTGACTTGTCCCGCCTCTTGTATGTGATCATGTGACTTGTCCCAACTCTAGTGTGTGATCATGTGACTTGTCCCGCCTCTTGTATGTGATCATGTGACTTGTCTTGCCCCTTGTGTGTGATCATGTGACTTGTCCCGCCCCTTGTGTGTGATCATGTGACTTGTCCCGCCCCTTGTGTGTAATCTTGTTACACATTTGCAATAGAAATGTTTAAAATTCGACGAGCAGAAGTAAAAATTTTGCCGGCAAGAAAATATTTTAGGATGAGGTGTTGATATCGGGACAGGCCTAAAGTGTGTTGAAGCTCCGCCTCCCGCCACATGACTGGTGACATCACAGGTGCACATGACGAGAGAGAGTATGAAAAGCTGCTACTGCTCCTTAAAGAATTCCAGTACATTATTCATGAGATGCTTCACTTTCCAAATACCAGCATATTGCATTATATAGACTTGGCAGTGAACCACTTTAGAAGATTAAATTGTGAAAATAAATAATGCTTTCTTAAAATTGTACCCAAAATTCAGCATGTACAAAAAAGGGCTGTGCAAAAATACATTTCACTATGTACAATTTCTTAACAAAATACATATTCTCAAATGTGAATATTTCAAATCTCGTCACAAAAGCTACAACAAAAATGTAAATTACGTTTTCTTTCCGAAGGTTCAACAAACGCTGCCAAAAAAGTTGACGTGAAGCGAACCTCATGAATCCTGCACCATCTCACTTCAGGCGTCTCCGAGTATTGCCAGGTTAGAGTCGATCGTGGACGCGGCGCCTCGAGCTCGGCGGACAGCACAGAAAGCTACGGGCGTCATCTTTCTTCCTGATTCGTTACGACGCTAAACGCAGCTTTAGAGGACTGAGCCGGGAGTTCTGGAGGTTCTTTATGAATCCAGACTCTCAAACCAAACTCTTAGAATAATCACTGACTCTTCTGGTCCCTGGAAAAGCCATGTTCCAGCTTCTTACCTCCGGCAGAATGCACAAACTGTTGCAAAAGTTTGTGGAAAGCAGTTTAAAGTGCTCAGTCTAAACAGAGCACTCTAAATGCTCTTCTCTTGAGTTAAAACTGTCTTAGTTTGATTTCACAGCGTCAATAGTTTTACTTCTGTACTTTTTAAACCTTTGTCTGTACTTGTCTTGTTCACACTGGGGACTTTTGCGGGCATATTCCAATGAGGTTTTACTGCAAATGGCAAATAGACCGAATCTGAATCTCCAACTACAGCAGTCACTGGGAGAGCGAACCCATGACTTTAGGGTCTGGTGCTCATGATGCAGAACGATGCAGAAGGGTCTGGTTTCTAAGGCCAAGCGATCACTCGTCAAAGTCGTGGTCGAAAGCGGCACGTTGCGCGTCCTTTCACATTTTAAAGCACATCTACAAAAACTAGTAGCTCATTGTAAAAGATTATAAAGATTCAACACTTTGCATAATTGTCGGGGTGATGGAAAACTGGGGCGTCCCTTTCTGTAGAGGCTTTTACACGTGACAAAATGGAGGCCAATGTTTTTACGTCCGTGACTCTGACTTAGCTTCGTTTCAAAGGCTTCAGTAACGACCCATGGTTGTGTCGGCAATAAATCCAGTAGTTCAAAAGAGTAAATGAAACTACGAAGCAAAGCGTACCGTGCTTTCCGGACTTTAAGCCGCACTTTTTCTTTCTTAGTAATACCAGAAACTGTAGCTCTTTCTATTGAACATAATTATATCCTGCACAGACTTTAACATGTGGCACACTTCTGTCTTTTGTACAAATGTGACATGTGCATTTCTCCACCAGAGATCAATTAAGTTTATATAATCTTGAATAAAATGGTTAATCATGTCTTTTCTCTGTGAGTGATGAAAGTAAGAACTGAGTCTGAGCTTAATCTTTCAGTGTCTTAACTTCTTCCCGCTTCTTTTTCGAGCTGGATTTTTGTACGTACTGTAGATTTGTTCTTGTTTGCCAAGCCTTAAAATAAAGCATTCATTCATTCAGTGAAGCAGAAAGATAAGGAGCAACATCTACAGCGCTCTCTTCACTTTCATTTCTATACGAAGAAGCAGAAAACTATTTATTATACGAGATATTTACACAGATATTATTAGAGAGGACTTTTTGACCTGATTTACTTCTGTTGGTCGACTCTTGGCGCTACAGAATAAACAATACTATTAACCCACTGTCTTAAAGTCCAGATTTTACGGTACTTGCTTCCAACTGTCGAAGTGGTTCTATGTTTTCTCTATGTTCTAAGTTTTTTCAAAGCTGAAGTCTGGCCCCGGACAACCCCATTTTATCACATGAAACACTAATGCAGATCACCGAAGACCGCAGCTAAACTGAAAAAGACCCATTTTGTGATTTGATGATTCAGAAAGCATTGAACCAGCCATGGACTTGGACTCACACACATTCATTACACAAAAGATTGGCTCACAGTCTTCCTCATAATTATGGTTTTTGTAGATTCGACCTCCATCCATGGCTGTGAATTGTTCCTCCTCTTGTTGACCTGACAGGAAGACCTCTCTGTGTTTCTGGGGGACACTTGTTCAGGCGTTTAGAAACCCCAAAGAGATGATTTTGTCCCCGTACAGTGCTGTCGCCGCCCCAACCACCCCAACCCACACATGGCTTTGGGAGAATTTGTAAGGACCACACTGACTTCACTGAGCAGCCCAGATCATCTCCACCCTGAGGACTGTGGGAAGCTGAGAGTAAAGTGGGTTTGACATTTGAAGGCCTCATTCAGACCAGAGCAGAGACCACTGCCCTGGATGATTCCCCGTCCATGGTCACACAAGGGCAAACACTGTTGTCAAGGACGAGCCTTTGGCTGTGGACACACAAAGATGGAGTCAATAGAACAGAAGACACGAGCGGAGAAATGCACAGATGTGGTTGAAGATTCAGATCTATATTTTTTTGTTGGTGGTTGGCGACGAATTGTTAGTGCATTACTGCCACCTTCTGATGGGTCAGTAGGCTCACTGTACCCCACAGACTAGTAGCCTGTGGTCCCACGATTTCAGATGTGTATTGATCCTTCGATGTCGGCTCTTCCTTTCATTGTGAAGCAGAATTCACCAAGCGTTGGATTGTTCACCCACTAACGGGGAACGCGAGCTGGTTTAGACCGTCGTGAGACAGGTTAGTTTTACTGATGATGTGTTGTTGCAAAAGTAATCCTATTGGAACACATAGTAAAATAGTAATCCAAGAGTAGTGATTCAGATGTATATTGGTGATTGAGTCAGAACCTGCCGGGCCTACAGGAGACGGCTGGTGCAGGCTGAAAATGACTAATTGCTGGACTACCATTCGTACCCTTTCCTTTTAACCTTGCGGCTGAAATGGTGCAGCGGCCATTTTCTGTATTTGTAATGTGGTAGAGTTGGGTTAAAGTCAATGTTGGGCTAATGTAAAGTCATAGGACGCTTGTTTATTGTGAAAGAGTTTATTTTTCCATTTTATTGGTAGACCTTTGTTTGCAGCTCATCTCTTGCTTCTGCTGTGATCGTTGTAGTATTTTGATATTATTTTTATTGAATGGGTTTGGGTGTTAACTGTTGGAACGGTTTTCTCAACAACATGAAGTTAAGCTTGTACTGAACCCTAACTGGACCAAAGGTAAAGGCAGATTTGCAGATTTGTTTAAATACCTTTAGAGAGAGAGCCTTCACTGCAGCTGCCCCCAATCTAAGAACTCTCACTTCCAAACTTCAAACTACTGCTCACAACCCATTAGTTCAAAACTGCCTACACGGAAATGCTTATTTTAGCTCTATATTATTGTTTCGTATTGACCTGTATTTTTGCAAAGTGTCTGTCAGAGTCCAAAACGCTGTGAAGTACAGAGTAATGTATTATTAATATTAATAACTTCAATACATCGCTTAAGGCCTTCCATTATTATATACTTTACTGTACTTTACTTACAGGTCTTCTTTGCTTTTTATTTATTATCTACATATTATTGTCTCCGTGGGAACAGGTATTTATCAGAGATGGGACACAGACTCATCCAACTTTGCAGCTTGGCTCGATCAAGGCCTCGAATCTCAAACCATGAATTCTGAACCATTGCCTTCACAGAGCCGGGGATCGCTGCTGACTAATATTAATACTAGTTTTGGAAATGTACTGCATTTATTTATTTATTTGTTTCAATTGTGGACAAAAACAATACTACACATATTACAATTAAATTTCAAATAATTGTCTTGTCGCACAAATGAAAAGGAGCAGAAAGATGAAAAAAAAAATCTTATGTTGCCTGCCCCTTCATACATGTACAAATTAAATTAAAAAAAAAATAAAAAAATAAATAAAATAAGATGGCCTTTAGCACTTCTTCAAACTGTTTTTATTTTATGTGTTTTTGTTTTCATAATTTTTTGTTATTGTTTTTTTCTAATCATTCATTTCGTACGATTTCACTGTTGTTGCTTTGATTTTTTTCTTAAACATGTGGATGTTTGCGGAATTTTTTATTTTTTATTTAATAGTCAAGTTGATTCCATAGTTTTACTCCGACCACTGATATTGCCATGTGTTTCTGGGTGGTTCTGGCAAAAGGGACAGAGAAGTGTAACTTCCTTCTACTGTCCTGGTTGATATTGAGAGAGAAGAGCTGTTGTAGAGCTGCTGGCAGCAGAGAGTCTCTGGCTTTGTACATCACAATGAGTGACTGTAGTTTGATCAGATCCTCTAGTTTTAATAGTTTTGATTGTATAATTACAGTGCCTTGCAAAAGTATTCGGCCCCCTTGAACCTTTCAACATTTCGCCACATTTCAGGCTTCAAACAAAGATATAAAAATTAAATGTTTTGTCATGAATCAACAACAAGTGGGACACAATCGTGAAGTGGAACAAAATTTATTGGATAATTTAAACTTTTTTAACAAATAAAAAACTGAAAAGTGGGGCGTGCAATATTATTCGGCCCCTTTACTTTCAGTGCAGCAAACTCAGTCCAGAAGTTCAGTGAGGATCTTTGAATGATCCAATGTTGTCCTAAATGACTGATGATGATAAATAGAATGCACCTGTGTGTAATCAAGTCTCCGTATAAATGCACCTGCTCTTTGATAGTCTCAGGGTTCTGTTTGAAGCGCAGAGAGAACCATGAAGACAAAGGAACACACCAGGCAGGTCCGAGATACTGTTGTGGAGAAGTTTAAAGCCGGATTTGGATACAAAAAGATTTCCCAAGCTTTAAACATCTCAAGGAGCACTGTGCAAGCAATTATATTGAAATGGAAGGAGTATCAGACCACTGCAAATCTACCAAGACCCGGCCGTCCCTCCAAACTTTCATCTCAAACAAGGAGAAGACTGATCAGAGATGCAGCCAAGAGGCCCATGATCACTCTGGATGAACTGCAGATAACTACAGCTGAGGTGGGAGAGTCTGTCCATAGGACAACAATCAGTCGTGCACTGCACAAATCTGGCCTTTATGGAAGAGTGGCCATTTCTCAAAGATATCCATAAAAAGTATCTTAAAGTTTGCCACAAGCCACCTGGGAGACACACCAAACATGTGGAAGAAGGTGCTCTGGTCAGATGAAACCAAAATCGAACTTTTTGGCCACAATGCAAAACGATATGTTTGGTGTAAAAGCAACACAGCTCATCACCCTGAACACACCATCCCCACTGTCAAACATGGGGGTGGCAGCATCATGCTTTGGGCCTGCTTTTCTTCAGCAGGGACAGGGAAGATGGCTAAAATTGATGGGAAGATGGATGGAGCCAAATACAGGACCATTCTGGAAGAAAACCTGTTGGAGTCTGCAAAAGACCTGAGACTGGGACGGAGATTTATCTTCCAACAGGACAATGATCCAAAACATAAAGCCAAATCTACAATGGAATGGTTCACAAATAGACGTATCCAGGTGTTAGAATGGCCAAGTCAAAGTCCAGACCTGAATCCAATCGAGAATCTGTGGAAAGAGCTGAAGACTGCTGTTCATAAACGCTCTCCATCCAACCTCACTGAGCTCGAGCTGTTTTGCAAGGAAGAATAGGCAAGAATTCCAGTCTCTCGATGTGTAGAGACATACCCCAAGCGACTTGCAGCTGTAATTGCAGCAAAAGGTGGCGCTACAAAGTATTAGCTCAAGGGGCCGAATAATATTGCACGTCCCACTTTTCAGTTTTTTATTTGTTAAAAAAGTTTTAATAATCCAATAAAGGTCGTTCCACTTCACGATTGTGTCCCACTTGTTGATTCATGACAAAAAAATTCATTTTTATATCTTTATGTTTGAAGCCTGAAATGTGGCAAAGTATGAAAGGTTCAAGCGGGCCGGATACTTTCTGTAGGTTGTTTGTGTGTTCTCTTGAGTCCACTTTATGAATGATTCTCACTGCTTTTTTTTTTGTAAGAGGATTAGATGATGTATGGTGTGTTTGTGTGTGTTTCCCCAGACTTCTACACAGTAGGTGAAATGGGGCAATATCAAGGTACTGTACAGGAGCCTTAGGGCTTTATGATCAAGTGAATGTTTCACTTTGTGCAGTATGTGCATTAGTCTAGTATGTTACTGTACCTAAAAAGTTTCCATCTGAACATCACCGTCACCTGGAATCTGACTTTGAAATAACCCTTCAATGTTTTGTGAGAAATAGAATGTTCCTTTAGGGACAGGAGATGACTGAATACAGACTTTAATTCATTTATAGAATAAATGTATAAGAAAAAAGCCCTCATGAACAGTTATTGATTTTCAAAAAACAACTTTTGAACCCATGTTTCTGGTGCAGGGTCAGTCACCATCTTCTCTAATGAATAGTGATAAGTTTATATTACTGAAAAGTTGTAAATGCAGTTTTATGTCATTGGGTTAAACATCCTGTTCTTTATTTCCATAATAATCTCAGGACAACGCAGTCCCCTGTTGGCCACACGCTCAGCGCTCACCTGATGTGAATTGTTAGGTAGCCCTGGAGTGCCTGGAATGCTCCGTCCATGCTTCCCATGGATGTTGTTGATCGCAGGCGACTTGGACATCTTGGGCCTGCCGGGTCCTCCGCCGCCTCCTCCGAGACCTGCACTGGTAACAGCGCTGGATGCGGGGGAGGTTTTGCGCTTCTTTCCGTCCAGACGACCATCGGCGTGATGACTGAAGCTGGTGTGATGCTCTGATGAAGACGACTGGTGATGGACGAAGGGTCCGAGAGACAGAGTGGAGTCACTGCTGTTCATCACTACGCTCATGCGCTTGATGGACTCTGCGGGGCTGCCTGATGGAGGGCCTCGGGCAGAAGGCCCCGACGAGCCCCCGGTCGATGCCCCAGACGCATCAGCCTTGAGGCTGAGGGAGTTGGTCCGCACGGTGGGCCCACAGTTGAGGCCCACACTGTGAACGCCGCTGTGAGTGGATGAGGATGACGAGGGCCCGAGTGAGCTGTGGTGGAAAGTGCTTCCTGAGCTGCCCACATTCGCACAGTTCTTTTTGAAAGAGGAGCAGTTGGCATTAGAGGATTCAGATGAGCCATGGGAGGAAGTTATAAGAGAGCTATTTTTTCTTTTCTTCCCCAAACTCAAGTTAGTGCTACTACTATTACTGTTGGCTCCTATGCTACCGCCGCCGCCTGTAGGGTTCGGCGTGGCAGGCGTTGGAGAACCAGAGGGGATGTCTTTGGGTCTGAACGATGACGACCTGGTAGTGTTGCTGCTGGAGGAGCGCGACTTGAGAGAGCGGCCTGAGGCAAGGTGTGGAGCAGAAGGTGAAGATGAATGGGCTGAAGGCATCTGCGGCGACGAAGACACTTGTCGGGCCTGCGTGGTGCCATAGGCCGGGTGTTCAGCCCCGCTCTGAGGGGAGCTGCGGGCATTTAAGGTGGTTCCATAGGACAGCACTGACTTGCCATCATAGGACTGGCTATAAGGGGACTGGGGCAAAGGGGCAGGGGGGCCCAGGAAGCCTGATGAGGGAGTGCTACTATGGTAGTTTGTGCTTGCCCGATGGGAAGGTGCAACAGAGGAGGGGTTCTCCAAGGCAAAGGGAATTTTTCTGAAAGAAACAACAATTTTGAGTAATATTCCTACATGAAGAACAAAATGAGACCATTCTAAATACTTTGAACAAGACCCCAACATACTTCCACATCTGAGAGTTAACATGTTTGTCCATCATTGTGGTTAGAGCACAGCGCGCTGTGTCCCACCGCCGGTCGAAGGAATAACAACCTCTTCCATACAGTCTGCTTCCAAAAGTACAAAACTAAAAACAAACACACATCATTAACCATAGTTCGATCACTTCCATCATCGTCTGTCACACTTACAGATGCTGGTCGAGGGTGATAGCCCGAATAGTGACAGTCTAACTTGTCCACATTCTCCTCCTTCTCCTCGTTTTCGCCCTCATCACTGGAGGGTCGTGAAAACACATCCGACGCAGTTTGTGGGTGTGATGAATCGTGAACAGCTGCGGTGTCTCCTGATGCGCCCGCTCCATGGCCACTGTTTAGTCTGAAAGACACAGTAGTTCAATATAACTCTGGGTATGCCATAGATATGATATATGTTAGATCCTTTACATAGATGTAGTGTGTTGCACTGTTTCCCTCTAAATGACAGGAAGTCATCAATTCTTCTAAATCCAGCTATGATTTGCTACATGTTTAATACTATCAAACTTTTTGTCTGGAGAGCTGCAGATAGATTCATCACAGTCGTTATCTGGATTGCGAGTACTTTAGCTGTGCTCCTTATTGCTCCAGCAATCAAAGACAGATGAATACGCTGTGTGCACAGCCGTACGCTCACAGCCGTACGCTCACACCCGTACGCGCACAGCCGTACGCTCACAGCCGTACGCTCACACCCGTACGCTCACAGCCGTACGCTCACAGCCGTACGCTCACACCCGTACGCTCACAGCCGTACGCTCACAGCCGTACGCTCACACCCGTACGCGCACAGCCGTACGCTCACAGCCGTACGCTCATAGCCGTACGCTCACAGCCGTACGCTCACAGCCGTACGCTCACAGCCGTACGCTCACAGCCGTACGCTCACAGCCGTACGCTCACAGCCGTACGCTCACAGCCGTACGCTCACAGCCGTACGCTCACAGCCGTACGCTCACAGCCGTATTGCTCTCGGTTGGGCTTGAACAGGAGACTGTAAAAGGTAAATATATGAGTCCAATACTGACCGTGGAAGACTGGGGCTGCAGAACTTTTGCTTTCCTGCAGGCAGATGCTTGTTGGGCTCAGGAACAGGACCGTTCCCATGAGCCGCCTGATGCGGGTCGAGAGCAGAGGGGGGGTGTGAAGCAGTTTCCCTGAGAGGAGCACTCTGCTGCGTCTGATGGAGCTCCTTCTCCTTTTCTTTCTCTCGCTCCCGTTCCCTCTCTCTCGTTCTGCTCTTGTGCTCCGCCAGTAACGTGTCGAAGCGCTTCCTCCGCCCTGGCACTGCCCTCCGCTGGCTCAAAGAATGTGTCTAAAAGGGCATTGGTCATGAACACAAACAAGGAAGAAGAACGATCAAACATACAGTCTAAAGGACAGTGGTCGCATCTGAAACGTTCTGATCGTGCCTCACCTTGCATGTTAGCGATCTCGTGCATGTTTTGCGAGCAGACAAATCCATAACACCACAGTGGATATCCGGATTAAACTCACGTTCTTTAGAAATAAGAGCATGGATCAATTAGTAATGCCATAATAGCAGAATGAAAGAATGTCCGTGGGTAAACAGTAAACACTACACATGCAGAACTTTTTACTCCTCAGAAACTTGCTTTGCCAGACTCTAAAGTACAGGCCTAGTTTTTGTGTTTTCACAGCCTTCTGAAGCTGAAAGTGAATACTGTACATTTACAAACAATCTTCATTAAATAGAGATGAAGAAAATGAGTAATCTGAGTAATATAACTGCATTTACAGTTTCTGGATTCACAATCTAGTGACTTTAAACTGCGGAGGAGGAGCCAAAAGTGCGTTTGCATTTTAATATTATTAGATACTGTTTAATACTATGATAGACTATTTAATACGGTTAGATACTTTTAGAATGATCTATTTATTTCTTAAGTTTGTTCGGATGGATGTGTTTCTGCTGCACCTGGACTCCTGCATTTCTCCTTCGGGATAAATAAAGTATCTATCTATCTGTGTATGTATGTGTGTGTGTGTGTACGTATGAGTGTGTGTATGTCTGTATCTATCTATATTTATCGAAATTCGCCCGTGACTCATGTCTTCCACAAAAGCAGAGACTGACCTGTCACTTTCTTGTTGAAGGGGCGTCTGCTACTGGCACTGCTGTCCGGCTTCTTGTCAGAGAGGACGGCGAGGTGACCTTTGCCGTTGGGTATCTGCCCCGGCGCTGGTAATGGAGGCTTTGGTATGGAGGGACAGTTAAGGCCAGGTTTAAGGGCAGATGAGGAGGAGGTGGTGGTGATGGGGGTAGTGTTGGCGCTCACAGTAGTGCTAGAGGAGGATGTGGAGGAGGATGAGGTGGTAGTGTGAGCAGACAGAGCCGACACCATCTTTGTTGAAGAGTCCATGTTCAGATGAATCTTCTCCACCTTGACAGCCGGGGTGAGGCTGGAACACAAGGTTAGAGATATGAAGAAGACGGCAAGAAGCAAGCCGAGCGTTAGAAGCAACGAACCAGTGACAAAGCCATGGTACGACACAGATGTGAATGTGTGAATGGGGCTGGAGACAGAAACACAGCTGGTATGATTCACCATAAAGTCAACTGTAGTTTGTCACGTGTAAAACAGGTGTCTCCAACCTTTTTCACCCAGAGAGCTACTTTCCCGGGACAATAAAGGCAGAGAGCTACTTCTTTAAGCGCCCCTGGGAAAAAATGTGGTGATATATTGGTGTGAACGAGCTTGATATTGGGTACAGTCATTATTTATTGTCACATATTTGTTCCTAGTGCACAAAGTAAGTGCATTTTCAATAATAAATAATAATAATGAATGATTCAATCTGAAAAAGGAAGAATATTATTTGATTTGCTCATTTCTAAATCCTTTGGCGAGCTACCTGGGAGGGGGTGGCGAGCTACTGGTGGCTCCAAAGCTACAGGTTGGAGAACCCTGTTGTAATACATTTGACAACAATTATTTGTCATTCACTCAAGAATCAATTATATACAGTATATACTTTAAGTTGAGTAATAAAACATTCTCTGAAAGAAATCTTTTTTCCTCAACAATTTAAAAATACAATGTTAATAAAAGTGCATGCTTTGATAAAACTACGCCTCTTTCCCCATTTTGATTGTTCTGATCAAGTGTGCGGCGTCTACACAACAACGGAAAACGATTTTACTGTCGCAGCGTCTCCGTGGAAACACCTAAATGATTGTTCAATTTAAATAATGTATTCTCTCCTTACGTCTTGGTCATGTGACACGATAGCGCTGAATTGTAAACAGATCTCGCCACCTCTCGATATTCTCTAGTTTAGGCCGAACAACAGCGCGTTTCATTTATTTACAAATACACAAAGAGCTCTGAGCAGTGCATGGAGTAGCACACGGCTGCTTGTATCTCACATGGTTCAGCCACATGGTTCAGCCACATGGTTCAGCCACATGGTTCAGCCACATGGTTCAGCCACATGGTTCAGCCACATGGTATGGGATCCAGCCCGGTCAGTCCAGGTCTTGCATGGAGGCCACAACATTAAACTTACATTTTCTCTGGTTGTAGAGCCCTCGGGTAAAACGAAGGCCTCCTGGGAATGCCCGGAAGCTTCTCTTTGGGTGGTTTAAGCAGTTTGGAGTTGGAGGAGGGCACTGAAGAGGAGCAGAGGAGGGATCCAGCAGAGGAGGGTCTGTTGTTCATCCCCCCAGCGGTGGATCCAGAGCTTAGCCCAGGCCCAAAGCCACTGCCGCGGTTCCTTCCGGACACGGGGAAGGGCGACGTGGACACAGGTTTGCTGACTGAGCTGTGTCTTCTCTCTGTCACATTTAAGTTCATGAGGATACAATGTCCACACAGAAGAATACTTTAACGTATGAGACTATTGTTATTCAAAGTGCTGCCAGACAAAACAAACCACCTCCACAGACACTGCAATAATAGCAAATGGTGTTTATTTGTAGTGCTGAAAAAAGAAAACTGATCTCGAAATAGAACTACACAACAGGTCAAGAGTTTGATTCCCTGCCCAGGCTCTGGAACCGTGATGAAAGGCAGGAAAATGGTAATAAAAATAGAAATCATCTCAAAGAAGAAGACGCTGTTCAAGAAGCTATTCTGAGAAACCTTCATGTAAAAAACATTAACAATAAACGGATATTTCAATACTATATTCATTTTGTAATCAGTGCCAGCAACACCAAGACTGTAGCAGCCTATTAATGACAAGCATGCAAAAGCCAGATCCTGTCAGACCTCTAAAGATAAGCAGGGCAGGGCTTGGTTAGTATTGTGATGGGAGACCTCTGGGAACAGCAGGTGCCACAGTGGGGCGGCTGTAAAGTGCCAAACTGTGGTTGTGTCCTTAGGCAAGACACTTCCAATACATTAGAATGAGTCTGGTGTGTGTCAATAGTCGGTGATGGTCAGAGGGGCTGATGGCACAGACTGGTTGCCTCGCTTCTGTCAGTGTGCCCCAGGGCAGCTGTGGCTACAGTAGTAGTTATCACTGTGTTTGTAGTGAAACAACAATGATTGAACAATGACTTTGTGTCCAGAAGCTTGATATATAACCAATGCATTACTATTATTATTATAAAAAAAGTTGTTTTTTGGTAGAACCCGTTGAAAGCATTAACAAGTTTAAATAATAGACAATCCAGAAACAATTGTCTAAACAGAGTTGGTAAATATAATTGAAAGAGAGATCATTTACATTTTTCACTTTTGTTTAAAATTGAAACATGCTAGACTTACTTAAAAGATAAATGTAGAATGGTGCTACACACTTCAGAGATGCATATTTGACACCACTGCTTTTCCAAATAAATACTGGAAATGTTGTTTGTGTGTGGTTTGACATATTAACATTATTGCACCCTACATTTGTAACAATACTCACCATAATGTGCTTGAAAGGCTTGGGGCTTCACTACCTGACTGCAGTGGCTGCACATCACCAGGTAGAAGTCATCTTGTGCTGGACACTGCCCAAAAATTGGCATATCTGCACATAAACAGAAAACAAACAAATGGACATGAAAATCATAACGTGGAAATGTATATCAGGAAAGATCTGTGCTTTTGTGCGGTCGAAAAGTATTTACAAGATGCACGTTTACTGAATCTCAGCAGCAGAGTTTAGTAAATCTGTCTTTCTGCTGCGAAGGGGAAAAACACGGCAGGAAGTGGGCGGAGCTTTGATGCTAACGAGCGACATGTTAGCATCACAGGTTAGCATCACAGGAGAAACTCAGGGTGAAGACTTATGTTCACATGCACTGAACACCATCAACCCTGGTCCAGCCCTGGTCCGGCCCTGGTCCGGCCCTGGTCCGGCCCTGGTCCGGCCCTGGTCCGGCCCTGGTCCGGCCCTGGTCCAGCCCTGGTCCAGCCCTGGTGCAGCCCTGATGATGATCAGGGCTAAGATGATAATATATGCGTCACTAAAGTTTTACTCAATTATTTATTCTTCAGTCATGACGAATAATAAATGAAACCAAAACAGAAACCATTCGTTTTATGGCAATTATGATACTTTAAACAGACATCATTTGACCAGTCCTCTCTCCTCCTCATTCACATCCATTTTAGAATCATTTTTACATTTCACTAGAACTCATTTCAGTAAAGAGCCGAGCTCCGTCATTCGTTACCGACTGACAACGGAGTCGAAAGCCAGATTGACCTATTTTTATCCCAGACCAATGTTTTAATTCAACATATTTCATTTATATAGAGGTGGAAGGACACAGAACGACAGCCTGCTTCGATCTAATGCAGTCAGCAATGGTCGGGATAATGACATGTTCTTTCAAACCACCAAAACATGCCAAACGTAGGTAGGTTCTACAAATGATCTCGGCTAATGGCTTTATTTTGATGCGGAAATGTGATCAAATATAGTTCCCGTCGGTGAGTCATGACAGTGTAGTCATCCACTTGTTCTAACCCCTGAATCCACACGTTACTGTCAGAGCAGACTGTAGGAGGCTGCTCAGGGCCACAGCACGAGTGGGACAGACGCAAGGGCATGTTCAGTGACTGTCCGTTTTATTGATAACCGGCAAAACCAGCAAGAAATCTGGACTTTAACAATTAATGTTTACCTTTGAATGTTCTGGAAACAGCAGCGAGTCCTAAATGTCTCTGTGTTTATTATTGTTATTTTTCTTGCTTTTTTCTGCCCGAGATGTTGCTGCAGCTCAGTGTTCATGGTTTTACACTGGTCCAGACCAGAGCAGAGAGGATTCATGGTTTTACACTGGTCCAGACCAGAGCAGAGAGGATTCATGGTTTTACACTGGTCCAGACCAGAGCAGAGAGGATTCATGGTTTTACACTGGTCCAGACCAGAGCAGAGAGGATTCATGGTTTTACACTGGTCCAGACCAGAGCAGAGAGGATTCATGGTTTCACACTGGTCCAGACCAGAGCAGAGAGGATTCATGGTTTTACACTGGTCCAGACCAGAGCAGAGAGGATTCATGGTTTTACACTGGTCCAGACCAGAGCAGAGAGGATTCATGGTTTTACACTGGTCCAGACCAGAGCAGAGAGGATTCATGGTTTTACACTGGTCCAGACCAGAGCAGAGAGGATTCATGGTTTTACACTCCTGCATCTGTCTCTGTATCAGTTTAACGACAGGTCCTGTCCATGAAGCAGAAACGATATTGTCCTTTTTTAAAACGGGTCGAGTTCAACTGATGTCTGTGTTTTTAATTGTGACCCTCTTTGGGATCCTGGTCTGTGAAAGACGATATATAAGATAAACTTTATAGATCTCACAATGAATAAATGTACATGTTTGACATAAATAGAATCACTCTGTGCTAAAAAAGACAGGAAATATTAAAATAAACAGTCTCTGTTGTGCAACAATATAATGTGCAATAAGAAGCAGTGAGAGTTTTCGGTCCTAGTGCAGCTCATTTAAGTGATGTATTTACAGAAAGTGTATAAATAAATAAACTTGACTTACTGAATGTCATTCACAACACATGAGAGAAACATTAAATAAACATGGGATCCATTTGCATTTAAGCACATTTGTAAAATAGTGACTATAGCGGTTTAGCAACAACTTCAGGTTCATGTTCAGGTACTTTTCAGGATATAAAAGTGACATAATATTAATAATTTACTTTTAATGAATGAATTTATAAACAGCAAACAATATGAATAAAGCCTATATCAAAAGTTGGAGCATTCATTCATTGAGGACTGATATAGACACTGTATTAAAGATCATAGGGACAGTGTTCAGTCAAATTCACTTTATTTACCTTTTGACATCATCTGTATCATTTTTATTTTTTATTTTATTATAATTATTGTCATGTATTTTGTTAATGCACTTTGCTTGACTGCAGGAAGAATAGCCGTGTTAAACAGCTAATGGAGATCAAAATAAATACAATTTATATAGCACATTATCACAGACAGTTTCCTAAAGTGCTGCATAATAAAATACTAATAAATATTGTATTCGTATCGGTACATGATCAGAAAGTGAGAGAATTACGCCCAAATGGAAAAGTACTTCATTCATGTTACTACCACATAACCACCAAATAATACTTCTTGTTGTCATAGTGCTTTGATTAGAAGTTTTTTGAAGAAAATTAAACAAACCTGGGTAGTATTAATAACAACACATACTGGAGTTGTTTATTTCTGCATGCCTATTATATTATATCTCTGATTGAAAGTGTTACAAGTGATTAAGTATTTGCTATTTTAACATAGGAGAATATTGGCCAGGAAATGAGCAATATAGATTTTTAATTTAAAGCATTAACTAAATACTTCTGCACTGGTTTGGGCATTTAGTTCAGAAGTTGTAACAGGGTGAGGCATGGGTTATATCAAATGAAAACAAAAAAAACAACAAATAATCTACATTTTGACGCGAAGCAGCATGAGTGCCAGATCCAGCACAATCACACATATCGTCACTTTTATAATGCGTGCAATTCCACAGAAACAAACACCTTTAGGTCCAAAAGGAGGAAACAAACCCCACGGCTTACCTTCTCGGGACAAACGCATGGCTTCGCGATTTTTCCCCAAGTCTTTCAAACTTTCCTCTAATTCAGCACCTGAAACGGAAATTCGACACGGACACATAAACAGTTGCACTTGCTCGCCTCTCCCCATGCTGTTGCAACCAGAATCATTTCCTAATATCACACCAAAACTGCATGCAATCTGACAGAAAACACCAGACAACACTACAGGCGAGTGTGGGGCTCGGGAGCGGTACTTCGCGTCCGATCGGGCCGTCGCGGAGCTCACCGTCGTGGCCGTGGAGTTTGGCAGCGTCGGCCCAGTTGCTCCAGGGCTGTCCCAGCATTATTTCAGGGCTAGGCAGGGATCTCCGCTCCGCAACAGTCGCCATTGCTGTGGAGCCTTCTCCCCTCTGGATCTGCTTCAGCTGCTGCCTGGCCGCTCGGCGCAGCTCCCCTCTGACGTCATCATCGGCCCTTTCCGACATACTTTCCGCTGCGCTGTAACAACAGTCCGGATCAGCACCGCGGATCTGTACTCTGTAACACTGAGCACTAACATAGGCTTATGTTCTAGGACGGCTTAAAAAACTAAAATTATAATTGTGTTAGCCCTTCCTCGTTATTATCCATTTTTTATCTACTTTTTTATGTAGCAATATGTAAGATTTTCATGTCCAGTCATCATTAAAGCGCCCTATTCTGTCATCATTAAAGGGCCCTAATCTGTCATCATTAAAGGGCCCTAATCTGTCATCATTAAAGGGCCCTAATCTGTCATCATTAAAGCGCCCTAAACTGTCATCATTAAAGGGCCCTAAACTGTCATCATTAAAGGGCCCTAATCTGTCATCATTAAAGGGCCCTAATCTGTCATCATTAAAGGGCCCTAATCGGTCATCATTAAAGGGCCCTAATTTGTCATCATTAAAGCGCCCTAATCTGTCATCATTAAAGGGCCCTAATCTGTCATCATTAAAGGGCCCTATTCTGTCATCATTAAAGGGCCCTAATCTGTCATCATTAAAGGGCCCTATTCTGTCATCATTAAAGGGCCCTAATCTGTCATCATTAAAGGGCCCTAATCTGTCATCATTAAAGCGCCCTAAACTGTCATCATTAAAGGGCCCTAAACTGTCATCATTAAAGGGCCCTAATCTGTCATCATTAAAGGGCCCTAATCTGTCATCATTAAAGGGCCCTATTCTGTCATCATTAAAGGGCCCTAATCTGTCATCATTAAAGGGCCCTAATCTGTCATCATTAAAGCGCCCTAAACTGTTATCATTAAAGGGCCCTAAACTGTCATCATTAAAGGGCCCTAATCTGTCATCATTAAAGGGCCCTAATCGGTCATCATTAAAGGGCCCTAATTTGTCATCATTAAAGGGCCCTAATCTGTCATCATTAAAGCGCCCTAATCTGTCATCATTAAAGGGCCCTAATCTGTCATCATTAAAGGGCCCTATTCTGTCATCATTAAAGGGCCCTAATCTGTCATCATTAAAGGGCCCTAAACTGTCATCATTAAAGGGCCCTAATCTGTCATCATTAAAGGGCCCTAATCTGTCATCATTAAAGGGCCCTAAACTGTCATTAAAGCGCCCTAAACTGTCATCATTAAAGGGCCCAAATCTGTCATTAAAGGGCCCTAATCTGTCATCATTAAAGGGCCCTAATCTGTCATCATTAAAGCGCCCTAAACTGTCATCATTAAAGGGCCCTAATCTGTCATCATTAAAGGGCCCTATCTGTCATCATTAAAGCGCCCTAAACTGTCATCATTAAAGGGCCCTAATCTGTCATCATTAAAGCGCCCTAAACTGTTATCATTAAAGGGCCCTAAACTGTCATCATTAAAGGGCCCTAATCTGTCATCATTAAAGGGCCCTAATCTGTCATCATTAAAGGGCCCTAATCGGTCATCATTAAAGGGCCCTAAACTGTCATCATTAAAGGGCCCTAATCTGTCATTATAATAAACTGCTCTTTTCCAATACTTCTTTAACTGTTAAAAGTAGTTCCGAGATATTTGAATTTCTAAATTACTTTTCCAGCCTCTAAATCTTGTTATTGTTTTCATTTCGATGTCCCGCCCTCCACCGTTTCACCAATCAGAAAGTCTGTGATCCGGGCGCCAGAACTCACCGCATGGAGCTAATCTCACTGGTAAAGTACCATGTGGCGCAGAACTAAAAAAGGTCTCGTTATGATTCTCAAATCATTAACGATAAAACAAGGAATAAAACCAGGATTTCTATCTTTGTGAAAAAGGTGTTGGTTATAGATTTGTTGTTGACAAACTCTTGTCTATTCAGCTGTTATGGTCCCAGCTGGATTCGTCTGCATATCTGGCAACCTGAGTCAGGGAGAGTGGGGGAGGCTGCAGTACCACTTTTGGCCACATGTCTACATATTGCTATATACATTATTTATTTTTGCTTATTTTCTCCTTTTATTTATTTATTTCCAGTAACTGTGGTTGTACCGTGTGTAATGTTTAATGATTCATGTATGACTGCAAAAGAAAACTAATAAAATATAAAGCTATTCCGTTAGCTGGTCTTATTGTAGAGTGCTGCACTTGGATATTTTTTTTCCGCTAATATCTTAGTGTACGAATGCTACAATGGATAAGAAACACATTTTTTATCCATCTGTCTTTTTTATATATAAAAAAGACATATCAAGTTTCTATGGTAACAACACTCCATACAGTCTAAGGCAGAAAGACACAAGCAGCACGGTGGCGCAGTGGTTAGCACTTCCTGGGTTCCATTCCACCTTCAGACTCTGGAGTTTGCATGTTCTCCCTGTGCCTGCGTAGGTTTCCTCCAGGTGCTCTGGTTGTACAATGTGTACAATAGGTCTGGCATGTGCCTCCTGTATGGTGACCCCACTCTTTGTGACTGGTCTGTGAAAGGCGCTACAGTGCCTTGCGAAAGTATTCGGCCCCCTTGAACCTTTCGCCACATTTCAGGCTTCAAACATAAAGATATAAAAATTTAATTTTTTGTCAAGAATCAACAACAAGTGGGGCCCCTTGCGCTAATACTTTGTAGCGCCACCTTTTGCTGCAATTACAGCTGCAAGTCGCTTGGGGTATGTCTCTATCAGTTTTGCACATCGAGAGACTGGAATTCTTGCCCATTCTTCCTTGCAAAACAGCTGGAGCTCAGTGAGGTTGGATGGAGAGCGTTTGTGAACAGCAGTCTTCAGCTCTTTCCACAGATTCTGGATTGGATTCAGGTCTGGACTTTGACTTGGCCATTCTAACACCTGGATACGTCTATTTGTGAACCATTCCATTGTAGATTTGGCTTTATGTTTTGGATCATTGTCCTGTTGGAAGATAAATCTCCGTCCCAGTCTCAGGTCTTTTGCAGACTCCAACAGGTTTTCTTCCAGAATGGTCCTGTATTTGGCTCCATCCATCTTCCCATCAATTTTAGCCATCTTCCCTGTCCCTGCTGAAGAAAAGCAGGCCCAAAGCATGATGCTGCCACCACCATGTTTGACAGTGGAGATGGTGTGTTCAGGGTGATGAGCTGTGTTGCTTTTACACCAAACATATCGTTTTGCATTGTGGCCAAAAAGTTCGATTTTGGTTTCATCTGACCAGAGCACCTTCTTCCACATGTTTGGTGTGTCTCCCAGGTGGCTTGTGGCAAACTTTAAGATACTTTTTATGGATATCTTTGAGAAATGGCTTTCTTCTTGCCACTCTTCCATAAAGGCCAGATTTGTGCAGTGCACGACTGATTGTTGTCCTATGGACAGACTCTCCCACCTCAGCTGTAGTTATCTGCAGTTCATCCAGAGTGATCATGGGCCTCTTGGCTGCATCTCTGATCAGTCTTCTCCTTGTTTGTGAGTAAAGTTTGGAGGAAAGGCCGGGTCTTGGTAGATTTGCAGTGGTCTGATACTCCTTCCATTTCAATATAATTGCTTGCACAGTGCTCCTTGAGATGTTTAAAGCTTGGGAAATCTTTTTGTTTCCAAATCTGGCTTTAAACTTGTCCACAACAGTATCTCGGACCTGCCTGGTGTGTTCCTTTGTCTTCATGGTTCTCTCTGTGCTTTAAACAGAACCCTGAGACTATCAAAGAGCAGGTGCATTTATACGGAGACTTGATTACACACAGGTGCATTCTATTTATCATCATCAGTCATTTAGGACAACATTGGATCATTCAAAGATCCTCACTGAACTTCTGGACTGAGTTTGCTGCACTGAAAGTAAAGGGGCCCAATAATATTGCACGCCCCACTTTTCAGTTTTTATTTGTTAAAAAAGTTTAAATTATCCAATAAATTTCGTTACACTTCACGATTGTGTCCCACTTGTTGTTGATTCATGACAAAACATTTAAATTTTATATCTTTCTGTTTGAAGCCTGAAATGTGGCAAAATGTTGAAAGGTTCAAATACTTTCAACAAGGCACTGTATATAGATTACTTACATCAGTTCAGCTCAAAAATCAGATCTATACATTTATGAGGTAATAATAATAATAGTCCTCCTGTGGACTCACCACCTGCAGAGGGTCAGTGAGGGGCTGGTGCTATGAGACTTGGGTGGCATCTCTGACTGCCACCCCCCTGACCCAGAAATGGATTAAAGGGAAGAACATGGATGGATGGATGGACAAACAATAATCCTTTCAATAAATTCCTAAAAAGTGGGCGTGGCAAATGATCGAAACACGATTCTACCTGAATATGACATAATCCAAACTGTACTCAACACATATATATTAAACCAATTAGAATAAAATCATTGAAATAATTAACAATTCATAGCAAAAATATGACATCATGTGAATTGAGAAACTGATTTGGCTTCATTATCAAACAGCCGTTTCAGCCGTTTTGATCTAATATTGCAGTTTTCATAAATTCTTGTAAGTGAATTAAACAATCTGGTTAACTAAACTCCTGACTGATGAATCAAAGTCTCAAACTATTAATCGATTAGAAGAATAACCGTTACTTATCAATATGTCGTCAAAATAGCAACGTGTCACATCCAAGGCTTCGTTTAAACAGAAACGCCCAATTAGCAAAAACAGCGTCTACACAACACCGGAACACGATGTCGTTCTCGCTTTCAGCCTGTAGGGGGCAGTGGAACTTTACAACACGGCCCGCAGCAGTAGAACCTCTTCAACAAGATCCTACTCCGCCCAAAGACGGGAAAGAACCAACATCATTCTGTAGCAGCAGTGGAAATGGAAAGTGGAACTACAGCTGTGGTTTTGTTTAGACGAAGGAGACGTCCTTCTCCGTTAGCGAAGCACATGTTAGCATTAGCCAACCCACTGTTGTTTACGTTCTACAGCGTCTCTGTTCTGTTCCACTCTGGAAACTGTTTCTCAACGTTTTCACCTGAAACACCGTCTCCATGGAAACGAGAGGACAATCCCAAACCCTCTGTTTTACTGACGCAGCGTCCTCGTGTAAACACCACCTAAAGCTGAGTCCATGATCCTCCGAAGGG